ATATTTATTGTTTATAAATAATAGTATTGAAATCGTATAGTTGTTTTTGTTGTCGCAGAATATTTTGCCAATAAGTTTATCAAATAATTTCAATAATTTAAATATAATAATTATAAATTATTTATTTAAATCATATTGAATAGCATATATCTAAATTTTTATATAAATTATTTTATTTAATTAATTATTTTTTATAAAATAAAATATAATGAAAAAAATAATGTTTTTATCATATTTATTTTAAATTTATTGCTTTTTAATTTATAACAAATGTTAATTTTAAAACCGCTATTAATATATATAATATTTTTATTATAAAATATCATATTATACAGTGACCTACTATATGACCATACGATTGTTGTTAGCACTTGTATTAGCAGATGGTTTGGATTTTATATTCAAGTGTACACCGAAGGTTCGCTTATTTATTACAAGGTCAAAATCCTGAGGATGGCGGTAAAGGTCAAGATATTGGAGATAAAATCTTGGCAGTAATTGTGATGGAGGTAAATATAAATGCTTAACATCTCCAGTTAAATGTGTTTGTGTGTATGTTTAACAAAAATTTGTTTTGAAATATAAAATTAATTTATTCTATTAGTAATGACTGGTAAAAAATAATCATATTTTTATATATAATCTATTAAATATATAATTACACGATCATCAGTACAAAAGACAGATGATATACTCGCAATCTATTTAATTAACAATATTATATCTGACAATATTAAGTAGTCATTTAAAAAATGATTACACAATCATCATTGAGGACACCGTACCCTTTTAATGTACTTAATGTTAGCGCTAAAGAACATGGTGTTTTTTATTAATTGCTGGACTGTTGGTCCTATCGTTGTTGTCCATATTATGTCTGTTAAAATATTTGTATAATATTATGGATTGGGAACTGTATGATAACAGCGAACCTACACATTGTAATCCAGATAATGGAGACATTGATTGTAAATTGTTTTCAAAATTAGATTTTAAAATTTTATTGTAAACCAACTTCTCATGACTTTGAAAGATCATTTTCAATGCTTAAAAACAAATTGATTGAAACAAAAAGAAATTGATTTACTAAAGAACATATTCAAAAGCATTATTGTGTTAATTTTTTTTAATTATTTTTTAAAATAAGCTATAATTTGTTTTCAGTATTTTGTATTCATATTTTATAAATTTTTTGTATTTATGTTTAACATTCCTAAATTAAAGAATACTGATTTTTAAACACTGTATATTATGCAGTAGTATATTTAATTGTTAATATAAGTTAATATTATAGTTTATAGTATAATATATATACTGTATATATATATAACATAATATAAGTATAATAGATAAATAAAAAATATCTAACCTTTATTTTATTTAAATTTTATTATCGGTCGGTGGCGGTTGTGTCGGTTACGGCGTTGGTTGCGGAACTGGTTGCTGTTGTGGCGATGGCGGACGTGACGGCGGCGGTGGCGAATCTAACAAAATTAATATTTCTTAGTATTTATATTTAATTAAAATATTGAATAATAATTTGAATATTGAATTTAAAAATTAATAATATATAATATATAATAACAAATAATAATGTATATATTTATATATACATATATATTAAATAATATAAAAATTAAAACTAATATTTTTATATTTTTTGTGTAGTATTTTACTATTAAAAATAAAATTGGGAAGTTTGAATATGTTTTAAATTTAAATATTTATATATATATATATATCAAAATTTTATGGCTGTTCTATAATGCAGCTCTTACTACATTTATGAAAACAAAATTTCACTAAGTATTTGAGATATTCGACTTAAAAGTATATAAGTATTTATTGCATTTATTCACATAATCATTATTAAAAATACATTGATGTCAAATATTATGGGCATAGTCAAATAAATAATTACAGCTTACAAAATTTTATGTCAAATATCTCAAATATCTCATATATATGTCTAAATAACTAATAAGTTTAAATTTTTTTCCAGTTATAAAGTTGAAAAACCACTTTAAAGTTGAATATCTCAAATTGCGGATGTGGGTCAGGTATGAAAGTGCTATGCAGGTACTCAAGGAAGTCTATGTTACCATCATTATACGGGATTCCCCAGGACCGGGAAAGACTACAAAAGCCACATTACCTCCCGTTACCACATTCTAACATGTGATTATTATAATTTATTTTAGTAGTTTATTAATAATTAAAAATATAATAATTTTAATTAATTGTTTTAGCTATTATTAGTTTTAAAAATTATACCCAAGATTTATGCAAATTAGTCAGTATATGTGGGTGAAGTGAATGTAATGGGCGGTTATATACTAAGTACAATTTTAATTTACAATAAAGTAATAACTTTATAAATAACTAAAAATTGCTAATTATTTTGCCAATCAGTTCATCAAATAATTTTGGATTTGTTGAATTGAAATTAGTTTTGAAAGGTTAAGAGAATTTTATTTAATTTTTTTCAAATATTATTTAAATATAGTCTCCGTTAGGCCGTATAACACGTTTCATACGGTCGATTTATCTCACATAGACCCCGCACCAGTAGGCTGGTTTTAGGTCTACCAAAAATGACTCAAAAGCGTTGTCAATCTCAATTTTTATTATATGTATTAAATGGGTAAATCAACAAGATAAAACTGTATAGAAAACTAATTATATATTATAAAATTTTTATTATTATATATTTTTTAATGCTTTTTATTATTTTGTTAATTATATAAAAAAAAATTACAAATAATACTGAAATTCTATATATTATTTTAAAAAATATTTTAATTAGTACAGAAAAACAATAGTCATTTTATCATAATTAAAGTTTTAAAGTAATTGATGACACTAAAACATATAATTATACTAATAAATGTTTGTTATTAATTTAAATATTAAAATAATAAGTGCTATTATGTTAAGTAATAATTATATGAAGTACAAAGAGAAAGAGAGAGAGAGAGAGAGAGATACACAGTATATAAAGTATAGTAATAACTGTATAATAACATATATACTGAATTATAAGTGGGGAGAATGGGTAAAAATTAAAAATATTAAAAATTGAAAAATTTAACAACACTTTAACATATTTAAACTATTATGTAACATACTGTATATAACTTATTGTACTTGTATTGTATTGTACTTATACTGTATAACCCTACTGTAATAATGTATAAGCTCTATACACTTTATATATAAAGTATATATATATATATTGTTTTATCTTTCAATACATATAAATAGAAATTTATATATATATTTAAAATTTATCTATATTATATTATAAAATATGAATATATATTTTGTTATATCATTGAAAATTCGTAAATTTTGTTTTTATATGAAAACATTTTATAAAAGATTACACGATCATCATTGAAGGCATCCGCCCTTTCTCATTATATTTTGTATATTATATGAAATAAATAAACTATTAATTTGAATTACACTACAAAAGACCCATCTATTCAATCTATTTAAATAACATTATGTATGATATTAAACAATATTGAGTTTAAAAAAGATTACACGATCATCATTAAAGATACCCGTCCCTTACGCAGGTTCAATGATCTCGGTAAAGATCATGATGATGGCGGTAAAGGTCCTGATGATGACAGTAAATACCGTTAATATTTTTGTAATACTGGTATTTCTGGTGTATTAATATTAATGGTGTTTAGGACATTATAAACATGTCTTGTCGTTAATACTTTATGTGATTACATATACTTATTAATAATAAATCTGAATCTATCAACTAGTACACTGGAATAATAAATATCTGAAATGAATATCAATTTAAAATAAATTTAACTTTAGTCATTTGGGGGATTAAAATGATTCAGCATGAAAAAAAATTGCGGACGTGACGAGCGGTGGTGGCCGTGGCGGACGTAACGAGCGGTGGTAGCCGTGACGGACGTAACGAGCGGTGGTGGACGTGACAAGCGGTGGTGGACGTGACAAGCGGTGGTGGCCGTGGCGGACATAACGAGAGGTGGTGGCTGTTGCGGACGTGACAAGCGGTAGTGACCGTGGTGGACGTAACGAGCGGTGGTGGCCGTGGCGGACGTGACGACGGGGTTGGTGGCCGTGGAATTTAAATTTATAATGTATAAAATATATAATTACACGATTATCATTACAAAAGACCGAAGAAATACTTACAATCTATTCAATTAACAATGTATGATATCTGACAATTTTAAATAAATATTACACGATCATCATTAAAAAATATTCTTCCCTTACACAGGTTCAATGATGGCGGTAAAGGTCCTGTGCCCGGTAAAAATCTGAATCTATGAACTAGTACTATGGAATAATAAATATCTGATATGAATATCGATTTAAAATAAATGTAAATAAAAAAAACTATATATAGTAACTTTGACAAAAATAAAAACAAATAGAGTATATTTTTAAATTTTCTCTATGTTTCTGACAAAATATCAAAATTTCAATACTGATTCCCATAGCTCAATTTTAATGCTTTATCAAAACCTGAAATTAAAATTCAAAAATTTTTGTACAAAGTTTTGTTGTACATTGGACAAACATAAGTAAAAATATTGTAATTTAAATTTGTTACCTTAATAGCAACACAAACATAATTAAGTGATTTGTATATATATAATGATATATCTATACATATATATATATATATAAGTTAAAAGTAAATTGTCTATTTGAATTTTGTCATGTTATATAAAAAATAATTTATGAATATTTAATGAATTTTATTATGAATAATAATTTTATTTTAATTTTTAATTAAGAACATATTAATAGTATATTTCAAACAGACAATGATTAAATTAATCCTATATATTAATTAAAATTTTAAAAACTTTTAATTAAATATAATAATTTAAAATTGATTACAACATAAATTTTTTAAAGAGACTCAAATCAACAAAATAAAAAAAAAATCTGTGTCAATTTAATTATTATTTAATATATTAATGAATTCTCCATTTTAAGTAAATAATAAATTATTTAATATTTAGTTAGCTATTAGTAAGGTTAGAGTAAAATCATAAAATTTTATAACTATTAAATTAAAAAGTAAATTCATTGAACAATGTCTAAACTAAAGTTATTTATTCAATTGCCATTGATTGTTATAATATTGGCAATAATATTAAGTGAGTCAAATAATCAGGTAAAATGTAACAATAACACCAACATTATCAGTAATAACATCAACAACAATAGCGGCAATAATGTCAACAATAGCGGCAATAATATCAACAACAATAGCCTCAATAACATCAACAACAATAGCCTAAATAATGTTAACAACAATAGCGGCAATAACCTCAACAATAGCGTCATATATAAATTACCTCCAGTTTCATTATTAACATCTAAGGTAAATGATCAATGTATAATTAATTATTATTATTATTATTAATTTAATTAAAGTATTCTGAAACTAGCAAATAATTATAAATTATTTATTATATATAATAAAATTATTGTTTTTTTTAATAAATAATTTATAATTAAAATCTAATCTAGTTAATCTAATTAAAAAACATGTATTCAGTAAAATAAAATTCATAAAATATATACATAATTAATCATGTCTACTTTATTCATTTTTTAATTAAATATGTCTATATATATAATATATATATAATAAAATTATTGATTTTTTATTATATATAGACATATTTAATTAAAAAATAAATAAAGTAGACATGATTAATTATGTATATATTTTATGAATTTTATTTTACTGAATACATGTTTATTTAATTAGATGTATATAATTTACAGCAATGAACATCTGTGATATTATATGGCAATTATAGAAAATAAAAGTTTAATAATTACAATAACAAACAAAAAATTATTCTATAGATGTTTTATTGATTAAAAAAAATTTTACATTTTTTAATACCAACTATTACTACTACTACTACTAAATATTTTTTTATTTAATTAGATGACTGGTCGATGGTATGCAATCTATGCAACAAATCCGAACCATAATTTCAATTTAGATATTGAAAATTTATTCGGAACTAATCCGCCGGAATTAAAATTAACAATTAGGTATATTTTATTTAATTTATATATAAAATAAATGTCGTATAGCTTTGCCAACTAAAATACACTAGAGGTCCTCATTTTAGTACTAGAGGTCCTCTGGGCATTAATTTAGATTTAATAATTATGGTAACAAATTATTTGGTCAACTTTTTTGGCACTACTCTTAAATTACGTTATCATATTTGTTGCTATAATATTAAGTTATTGTCTAAGCAATAAATATGATAACGTAATTTAAGAGTAGTGCCAAAAAAAAGTACCAAATAATTAGTTACCATAAATATTAAATGTAAATTAATGCTCAGAGGACCTCTAGTGTATTTTAGTCGGCAAAGCTATACGACATTTATTTTATATATATATATATATAATTTTTTTTATTTCATTTAAAACTAAAAATATTAATTCTTATATTAAAATTATTATTTTTTTTATAAATAATAGTAATGACTTAACACATTTTAAATTTTGAAATTTAAGTTTTAATTTAAAAAAAATAATTTGTATTTATTTAAGTTAAACAGTTTTTGAAATGCCTATATACTGTATATATATATATATATAATGAATTAATGTTTTATCCGTCTATGTATAGTATATACTCTATATATCAGGAATGCAATGATTTGTGATTTTTTTTAAAAAAAATACTTTTATACTTTCACTACTATTATACTAACCTAATGTTATATTAAAATATTTATTTCATCTAGCTCAAATAAACAGTTAAAAAAAATTTATAAAAGTTTAAATCAAAATATCATGAATTATTTATATAATATTAATAATAAGTCGATTATTATATCGGTATACTATATACTGTAATACTATATAAAATTGTTTATAAACCAAAAAAAATTATAGAATTTATTTTTTTTTAATTATATATTTATTTAGTATTTTGTTTGTTTTAGTATTATTTACAACAACAACAAAAAACAATAATATTTTTTAAAAAATTATTTTATATTTATATAATATATATATATATATATATATATATATATATATATATATATATATATATATATATATATATATATATATATATTGTTGTGTTTAATAGTGGATCTAAAAAACCAACCTATTCGGGATATACAATATTAGATGACTTGAATTTTATTAATATTACCTATGAATCCGGTAGTCGTATCTCATTTAATATATTGGACTATGATTTTGATCGCTATTTATTAGTTAAAGTTTTACATAAAAATAAAGGTGATGTAAATGTTTTTTATTTATTTTTTTTATTATAAACTTTATATATATTTTATTTAAATATCTATTATTTATAAGACAGTATATATATATATATAAATACATACAGTATTTATTATTATTATTATTTAGTTAATAATTATAATTATTATTTAGTAAATGTTTATAACTAGTTAATTATTTTACTTTGAAATTTTTATTGTGTTTGATATTAAATAATTTATTTTAATTTTTAAATATATCATTATAATTTAAATTAGTAATTCATATTGATAGTATTTTTAAAAATAAAATAATAATTTATTTATGATTCTTGGATATTATTATAAAATATTTTGTTGTTTTATAAAAATTTAATAATCATTTATTGAAATTAATTGTAAATAATTTTATACATATTTTTTTTTAAATAATATAATTTTTATTTTTATTATTATATCTTCAATTTAATTCAGTTGGTATAACACTTTATAGTCGATTCAATGACCAATTAGTTGAACAATTAAGACAATTGCATAACGCTTACAAAAAACTGGATCAATTGGGTCTGAAATTTAATTTAAAATCAACAAAACAACAGCCAAAACCAAAACAAAAGTCAAAACAAAAACCAAAACAACGTAAACAACAACGAAAAGGACGACAACAACTAAAACAACGTATACCACAACAAAAGTTGGGTTAAAATTGGGTTAAAATTGGGTTAAAGTTATATAAATTAATATACAGTTAGATAACAAAAATTTTCTGAAAAATAAATCCAAAATTATTCAAAATTAATTTATAAATTTATATATATATATATATATAAAGACATACCAATTATTTATTAATTTATTAATTATTTATTTATAACTGTTTAAACTTTAACTGTAATTCAATTCTAATAAAATAAAATTATTATCAAGCATATTTATTATATTTTAGTTACTATGACAGCAATAATTAATAAATTTAAAAAGTTTATTATTATTATTGTTATTTATTATAATTTAATTTATGTACTAATATAAATTAGATTAATTTAAATTAGTAACCTAGATTGTTACTTAAATAAATAAATAAAATAATAATAATAATAATAATAATAATAATAATAATAAATAAATAATAAAAACTTTATTGGTTTACTTGGTATTGATTCAATATTTTATTAATTTTTTATTAAAATTTAAAGTTATTAATTAATAAATTTATAGTTTATATTAATAAAATTAAATAGACATACTATTTATTATATTATATCATTTTTAAAAAAAAAAATTATTACAAATTTCTTAAAGATTATTAGGTATTAAAAAAGTCGTTTTAAATTTATTTTTTAAATTAATTAATATTAATATTAATTAATTTAAACTGTATATATATATATATATATATATATTAACTCATTAACCCATGTTTTTACATTTATTATTTTGTTGTGGATTTACAAACGGATACCAACCCTGACCATTGAGACAATCGTAATAAAATTGTTGACAATACTGGCCATTACACCAGCCTCTAGTACAACGTCTACCAATACTATAACAGATTCTGTCTATAACTTCTACAACAATTCAAAATAATTAATTAATTAAAACCAAAAAATATAAGTTCAATAATAATAATAATAATGTTTTATTTAATAAAAAAAACTTACTTTTATAGTAATTATGACTTTTTGTTAGCGCAAATCTATACATTGTTTCCATTCTATCATTTTTTTCGGGTATTCTACAGTTACCAGGTTTACCATCAAATTTACCCACTGATGGTCTACCACCACCACCTGGTCTACCATTAACTTTATTTTGTGGGCTTTTTAGTTGTTTATTTTCTGGTTTACTACCTGGTTTACCTCCCAAACTCTTACCGTTACCTTTACCGCCCACTTTACCGACACCTTTATTACCACCAGCTTTACCGCCACCCTTACCGACACCTTTACTACCACCAGTATTACCGACACCTTTACTACCGCCACCCCTACCGACACCTTTACTACCACCAGCTTTACCGCCATCTTTACCGCCACCCTTACCGACACCTTTACTACCACCAGTATTACCGCCACCCCTACCGACACCTTTACTACCACCAGCTTTACCGCCATCTTTACCGCCACCCTTACCGACACCTTTACTACCACCAGTATTACCGCCACCTCTACCCCTACCTTTACCCTTACCCTTAGCACTACCTTTGATATACGGTGGCCGTCTATTTATCATTTGATATCTCTGTGTATAACTATAATTGAAAAATTTACGACAAATATCTCGTTCTGTACTATGATTATCAAATGGATACCAATTGCTACCAGTAATACATTTTTTTGAATAAAATTCATCGCAATATTTTATATTACAATATATTTCTAAACAATTTTTATATTGTATTCTGCATTTTGATTGTATTCTATCTGTTAGTTATAAACAATTAAAAATTAAAAAATTAATTTAAAAAATTAAGTTATTAAGTTTATTATTATTATAATTATTTATTGAAAATAAATTCCTAATTACCTTTATCATTGTTAGCGAATAATTTTTTAAATCCATTATTAGCTGACGATGTTTTCCTATTAATTTTTTGTTTGCCACTAAAACCACCAAATCCAGGACTTGGACCATCTATACTACCCGGAACACCATTAGGATTATAACGACCCCTACTACTAGCACCTGGACCTTTACCGCCAGCACCTGGACCTTGACCACCAGCACCTTTACCTCCCGGACCTTTACCGCCAGCACCAGAACCTTTTCCTTCAGGACTTTTACCGCCATTACCAGCACCTCCTTTACTTATAGGACGCTTACCACTACTACTACTACTACTATTAGGTTTACCAACTTCATTTAAGGCATCATCATGTATGGACTCGCCATCTAAAACAACAACAACAACAACAACAACAACAACAACAATGTTATTATTAATATTATTATTAATTTTTACATAATTTTCTTGTTTTGCAAAGTTATAAATTAAAAATAATAATCATTATATTATTAACATTATAATTAACTTAATTATGATATACAGTATTATATAATATATATACAATATTACTAACCGGTAACAAATAATAGATTTGATAAAATAATTAACATTAATACAAATAATATTATAGTTAACTTCATTGTTGTTGTTAATTATTTTTTCTAATTATTTTATAAATTAGATATAATCAAATATATTAGATAATACATATTTTTTTTTAAATATTAAATTATAGATTTTTGTTTTGTTTGAATAAAATACTTAATAATTTTTTATTTATTTATTAGTTTCTTAATAAACTATAATATATAAAATTATAATTAATTTTAAATGATTTAATTAAAATTTGCATTAAGTCTAAAATTAATTAATTTTTATGATGTTTTTTTAACAACATATTGTGAATATTTTAAAAAAATATAAAAAATTTATTTATTTTTTAAGCCAATAGAAAATATTACATTACTTAAAATACACATATTATACATAATTTAATTTTAATTATATAATTAGATATATAATAATAATAATATCAAATTTATATATTAATATTATTTGTTTAAAAAAATTACCTTTCACTGACAATAAAATGAAATTCAATGATGATGGTGTTATAATTTTTTTTTTAAAAAATGACTTCAATTTTAGTAGTCAGATAAAGTATATATTAATATTTATTAAACTATATGTATAGACAGTTATAGTCCTATAGTTAGTGTAATATCTATAGGACTTAGTTTTACATTGATTTTTTCTAGTGAGATGATCGTGTAATTTTATATTTTATAATAAATCATTTAATTATCAATCAATTAGATTAATTAAATATAAATACAAAATAACAAATTTAAACTGATATTAACTTATAACTGATATCTTTATATTTTTAAGAGATTATTTAGAAATTAATTTTTAGTAATAATTTTTTTTTAATTAATTGTTATTATCTAAATATTTACATATAATTCAGTTTTACATAACAGTTATGAATTAATATACTTTATATATATATATTACATATTTTATATACTGTCTCTTATAAATATATATAAAATTTTTGTTAATTAATTTAATTATTTTTATAGTTTGTGGTTAACAACAACAACGATATCACAAAAAAAGAAATAAGTTTAGTTAAATAATATTAATAACAACAACAACAAAATAATAATAATAATAACAATAACAATACGAACTAATGTGAAATAAGTTTTGTTACAATAATAATAATCACAACAGCAACAACAAATACTACTACTACTACTTTCACGTAAGTTAATTTCATAGATTTTCATAATTTTTTGTTTACAAAAAGTAATTATTTATTTTAGAAAAAATGCTTTTAGTGTTGTGAAATAATTTTTTTAAAATTTACTAATTATTAGTTTTGCTAATAGTATATATTAATTTTTTTTAATATAGGTTTTTTTTAAATTATCAAATCAATTATGAAAAAATTATTGCGAACTTATAATTTTATAATAATAGCGTTATTAATTATTTGCGTTATTCATAATTATAATTTAACTATTGAATATTTAAAGTATTAAATTACAAACTTAAAAATAAAATTTTATTGCAAGCAATTAATGAATGCTTAAATAAACATATACTTTTTAAAACAAAATTATTATAACCAATATAATGTCACTTCTATTGTAGAGGTTATTTATAACAAAAATAATATTATCAATAAGTTAGATACTTATTTTGAACAATTTGAACAATTAAAAGATACAAATATTTTCAACTGTTTAATCAAAGTTGGAAATTTTGAACATAATTGTTCAATAATTAATAATTATACCTAAAGTATTTAATTTGATAATTTTTGTATTCATATATTCAAACAAATTGATATCGATAATGATTCCGTTTTTGAAATTCACGATTTACTATTTGGTAAAAACAATGTTATAAAATTTATTATTTTAATTAATAATTATCAAAGATTAGCCATCAATAGTATTAGTTTAACCTCATCGTCTCGTAAAGAGACATTATATCCTAGTTTTAAATATAAAACTAAAAACATTGACCCAAAAAAATCCAATATTTACACTGTAGATTATCGCAAAACAGTTTCTACTTATGATAAACAGTTATTTGGCAATTTATGTTTAGACATAATCAGTATTGATGATTCTGTTAATAAATGTATTCTAAATACAATGAATTTACTACGAAATGTTTAGCCAAACATAGATCGGTAGCTAAATATCCCAGACATTGCATAAGTGATTGCAAAGTATTACATCAATGCAAATATGAATCATTTAATTTAGTCGCATATTATGATTATTTAGAAAAAAAACACATTAGATAATAATTTTGAAATAATAGTAACCAATAGTGACAACGAAGAAATTAGTTATACCATAACATTAAAAATTTCATATCTACAATATATAAATGACATGTCCAGCGCGATTGGCTTATAGTTTGGGGTATCGGTTATTATGGTTGTAAAGAAATTTTACAAAAAAATATTTAAATACATAAAAAATCGCGTTGTAAAATTTTCTCTGTAGTCTTTTCTACAAGACGCCATTTTATAATACATTTTTATGAAATTTGTGTCACCATATTAGTTGATGTGCGTATTAATTGAAATTTATGCCAAACATATAGTGAACTCTATTTTAATATTGTTATTTATTATAGTCGTTTTCATCGTTCTTTTGATGGTCGTTTCGATTATTTATTAATTTTTAACTTTAATAATTAATAAATTTAATTTTGTGTAATACTTCTTTAATTAATTTTAACATTAACGGTCTTTTTTAGTGATGATCGTGTAATTATATATTTTATAGAACTAATAAAATAAATTTTAAAAATAGCTTTTCAGAATTTCAGAAAATTTGATTAGTTTGAAAAAGTTTGAAAAAAATAATAGTTATTTCTTAGCATAACTCTCAATATAAAAATTAAAAAATAAACTAAAACATTTTTTGTAGTTTTAAACTAAAAAGAAATATATTATATAATAATACATTTTTTAATAATTTGAACAAAAATTAATAACTATTACTATATAATAATTAATACATATTTTTATTGTCTTTGAAAAAAATTGTAGTTTCAATTGTATAGTTAATATATTACATATAATACATATAATAACTTTATATTATATAATATATCTTTTTATTATTATTATTATTTAAACTGATTTATATTTGCTATCTAAATATAATTATATATATTTATTTAAAAATAATTACTAATTTTTTTAATTAAAAATATTCGCTTGTTTTTTTAATAAATAGCAATTAAAAATTTAATAATTTTTTAAAAATATAATTAAAATTAGATTATAATAACAATTTACTTACTTTAGTTAGTTAGTCAAACGTATGTATAATTAGTATTTTTAAACTTTGAATAAAAGTTATATAATTAATAAAATTATAACAAAAATAAACGGTTTTTTTTGGTTACAAATCGATTGTTTTGTTTGTAAATTATTTATATTCAAAATTTTCAATTTTAATTATTATATTAATTAGCAGTAATTAATTAGAAAATTATTATGTAATTTTTTCTAACAAAAAATTAGTTATTATTGTTTATTTATTAATAATATTTTTACAAAAATTTTAATTTGGTTAAAAATTAATTTTAAAAAAATCAATACATTAAATATAATTTTAAAAATAATTGATTAAAATTATTTTCTATAAAATAATCAAAAAATTATTATTTGTTTGTATAATTTAATATATAAAATGTTTAATAATAATTAGTAATAATAGTAATAATTTTTCAAAAAATTTAAACAATTTTTTTTAAATAAGTGAATTAATCGCTTTATTAAATATAATAATAATAATTATTATTATTATTATAATTACTAATATTTAAGTGATATTATGAAATGATTGTTTATTTTTTATTATTATTTTAAGATTTAAAAGTTATTTTGTTTCTTCAATGACTCAAATGATTGTCATTTAAATATATACAGTATTTATACAAAAATTGTCATAAATTTTAAAATTTTGTATTAAATAGTTAGACAATTCATTTGCTAAACACATTTGTTGTCAATTTTTTAAAACTTATATTTTTTAGATTTAAAAAAAATTTGTTTTTTAGCAATTAATTCATTATTTTAAACATTTAGTGTTGTTCTAAGTGTTACATTGTTTTTGCATTTTTTTATTGTAACATATTTTTTGTTTGTTGGTAACAAAATTCAGTTATTTTATGATTAATAATAATAATTAAAAAAAAATTATATATTAATTATAATTAAAAAAAAGTTTATTATTAAAAAAGTTTTGAAAATAATAAAAAATATTATAATTAGTTATTACCGATATTATTTGTATTATTATTATTAATGTTATTTTTTATATAATAAAAATTTATTAGATAGTTATAATAAATTAATTATTATTTTAATTATGTCTTTATATATATAATATTATTCATTACTTTTTTTCACTCTCTCTCTCTCTCTCTCTCTCTCTCTCTCTCTCTCTCTCTCTATTATCCAAACAATTACCGCAAGTTTTTTTTAATTATATAACAAATTTGCTTAATATTTATCCATATTTTAACACCAATATTGCTGTATATATATATTATATATTAATTATATATTTAAATCACAATAATCTATATTATATTTATATTGATATATGTTATATTTATATATACAGTATAAGTATTATAATTTTATGGATGTAATAATTAATTAATTGATTTAAATATATATATATTAATATATATAATACCTGTATTTTTATCTGATATATATATATATAATTTCATACACCACATACATGTTATAATCCTTTTTTTTGTTTATATATATACTGTATATATATTATAATAAGTAGATTTTAGACTCATATTTATTTTGTCAATTATTTGCTAGTTTTAGAAAAATAACATTATTATAATAACAATTAAAAATGTGATTGAAATTGTGATATAATTACTACTATTAAGTTAATGATAATAAAAAAAACTTATTTTTTAAAACACTATTATTATTATTCTACATTATATACAGTATATCATTGACTAGTTTTAAAATTATAATTTAATTAACTTTTTAATAAAATAAATCAACAATATATTATATTTATAATATAATATAATTTTCAATCTAATAATAATAATAATAATCAATATACTGTATGAGTCCTATCGTTTTTATTTGGCTAACAATTTTTAAAGAGAGAGAGAGAGAAAAAAAAAGAGAAAATAAACTTATTTTTATAAATAGTAAATACAATATATATATATATATATATTAAATATAATATATCAATATTATGATAATTATAATTACATTCAATTTAACATTTGTTTTCTAATCAAACCCAACCAACAATTATATATATTATATAATAATAATTATTATTATTATACTTGCATTTTGTTAAACAATATATATATATAGATAGTATATTATCATATTATTATTATTATTATTATATAATCACATCATTTATATATATATTGTATAGTTTAAAATAATAATACATTAATAACAAACAAAATACGAAAAAAACTGATTATCAGTTGTTTTATTATTATTATTATAATAATATTTTTGTCACTTTTTTTTATAGATAAAAAAAACTTTTTTTTTTAGTTTATATATTGCTTTCGGGATTCACAATCATTTTGTTGTTGTTATTATTATTATATATTATTTGTTTGATTATATCATACAATCTTTTTTTGTTAATTTTATTTTCAATGATCAGAAAGTACTGTACAGTTATAGTACACACAGAGTAGCGGACATCCCGTGAGAGAGGATTTTAGGAGTCAATCATATGATATGACTGTCCATAAACTGTCTGTCTGTCTGTCTCTATCTCTATCTCTCTCTCTAGACGTACCACTCTTTAAGATCTTTCTTTTTGGGCATTTTTATCAACGGTTTGTGGTGTTGGTCAGTGGTGGGCGACGTCCTGGACATACCGACACCGCCACCAATGCCGCCGCCACCAATGAGATGTGTCTGGGGTAGACCGCCAGTGGCCAACATGGATGACGTTGATCCCGAAACTGGTTGAAATTGATAGTGACTTTTATTAATCGTATCGTCATTGATCTTAAACTGTGTGTCCGTACGGTAACGGACTTTGAAAAACAGGACAATCGGCGCTATAATAACAACAACAATCAGTCCGATGGCTATTAAGCCGATTATCATTACTGTCCGATCACTGGTACTCTTATTGGGCACTGGAGTACTCGGTTTTGCCGGTTCTTTGACAAATATTTTCGGTATCTCTGGCACCGGTATCTGTAATTTAATATTTTTTTTTAAAAATATTCAATTGTTATCAATATAGACCTCCCGTTAAAAAACAATTACCTGATAAATAGTGGGCGGATCTTTTGATTCCGGCAGCTGCGCTGGTCGGCCAATATTACGGTTATCGGCTGCTGATGATGGCTGCCTGGTTGTACCACTTATCTTATAGATAGGTCGATCCCAAATGGGTTGCTGTGTTATTGGACGTTGTGTTGTATAAACAATAAATGGATTATTCACTGCAGTCGACATATGATCGGGTAATTGCTGATCTATCGGGTAATAGGGTGGCGTAATTTCCGGGTATAGCGGTGGCGGCCGCGGCGTCCCGACTGTCCACTGTGGTCGATGATAGGCCGATACAGTTGTGGTAGTCATGTGCGGTGCATATAGGCTGGTCTGGGCGCCGCCACTGCCATAGTAGATGTTATTACTTGAGCTGGTTATATGTTGTTGTTGGCCACCGATTAGTTCACCCGAACCCGAACCATCGATACAGTCTTCGTCGTCGGCGTCGCACTTATGGGACACCACACCGCCTACCGATCCATGCGGTGTCGACTGTAGCGAATAGGGCGGTACTCCCGTAACCGGCGATCGCGGACTCGCTATATAGACAGGTGTTATAAGATCGTCGCCGCCGTCGCCGCCGCCAGAAGCCTCCATACGGGAACAGTCGTCTTCGTCGTCGGCATCGAAACAACCGGAACCGGCGCCCGAATAGATCAGGTCATTGATGTCGTAGCCGACGGATGTTTTGGCCTACAAATGTTTTTTTCAGTATCAAAATAATAATAATTAGTGTAAATATATAACAAATTTTCCGCTAATATCACATAATATAAAAACCTCTTGCATTTGTGGACCACTTGTTTCCATAAGTGTACTGTTTTCGTAATAACTGCTACCCAGATGTTGTTGTTGATGGTGGTGATGATGATGGTGTTCACTACCACTACCAATACCACCAGTAGTCCTGCTATTGTTGTTGTTGTAGTTGTAGTCGTGATTGATGTTTATTATGCTATCTTTTTTGTCGCCACTATTATTATTATTGCCGCCGCCGCCACCACTGCCGCCGCTATTATCAATAGAGACCAACAGTTTGACGTCGCCGTCAATCGATATACGCGGATCATCTTTGACAGCCATATCGAGTATACGATGACCATTGAATACAAAACCGGCAATTATCCCGTGAAATGGCCGATCGATAGTATTGCGGACAATATTACGTTTGCCGCCTAACTGTATACGCGAATGACTATTGAAAATGGTCAACTGGCGGCCGGGTGGACTTTTATGTACAACATGATGGTTGTCCACTTGAATGGTCGAATTTTGAGCCGATCGGGTAAACCTGACCGTATGATATTTGTCGTCGTTGACCCGAAAACTGAGTTCCCCGACGTCCAGATCTTCGATACCCAGATTGTAGACCATCAGGACATTACCGTCGACCAGTGCCAGTTCCATATAGTCGGACGTACCGCTTTCAATCCTGACCAGCAGTGCATTTTCATCCCGTGTCTGAAACCCCAGGGCTAGCAAATCGTTTTTCGTGTCGGGCCTCTTGTCCGCCGGAAACGTAAACGTTATGAGACCGCTGTTTGGCCCGATATGGTAGGCGTTACGCAAGTCATGGGACAGGTAGTGTTCGCCACGAAATTCCGGCGCTCTTTTGTCTATTGATTTTATTTTTTGGTGTTGTATTTATATTTATTTTTTATTATAAAAAATAAATAAAAATTGTATTAAAAAAATTTATTTGATTTATTATTAGTAATAGTATTTTTTTCTTATGTTATATAAATAAATAAATTAATTAAATTATAGATTTAATTACAATATATCGATAGATATAATTAATTATTATTATTATTATTAGTAGTAGTAGTAGTAATAAATATTTTATTTAAATTAATAAATTAAATTATTTCAACATAACATTATAAATATGTAAACATAAATTTTTATTAATAACTAATTATTTTTTCTAAAATATAATAATAATAATGTTTATTACTATTATAGATAACTAAAAAAAAAAATACTTATCACGCAAATAATAATTATTTTATTTTTAAATAAATAAATAAAACAAACCAATAATCCGATCGTCGATTATAGTTAGGGACCAAACTTTGCTGGCATTTAAGTAAATATTAATTATTATAAACACTATAATTGTTAACATCATTTGACTGATTGTTTTTTATTTAGTTTTTTATGTTTGTTTGATTAATTGATTTTATCAATATTTAACTAAAAATATAAAAAATTGCATTAAATTGAAGTTTTTAAAAATACAAAATAAAAATTTATACACAATTTATAATTTATTTTTGTAGTACACAAACACAACAACGTAAACACTTTTTTTATAAGAAATTATTAATTTAAAAAATAATTAATTAAAAAAACAATTATTATTTCTAAGAAAAAATTTCAATTAATAAAAAATAACTATATATTTATCAATAATATAAATATAATATATAAAACAGGCGTTTTATTTTGTAATAAATATTTATATAATATATATATATTAAAAAAAATTATTGACACTTTTTTTTGCTTATTGATGATAATAATAATAATAATAATTGTGATTAAAATAAATTAGTGATGTAATAGCCTTTTTAATTTGTTGTCATCGATATTCATAACATATTTTTAAAAATCATATGTAATACTAGATATATTGTTGTTGTTGTCGATGACGTTAATCAATGGTATCTTTGGATCAGCTAATAAGGTGATCATCATATATATATATACTACTGTACTGTATATATATATATATATAACTAGTGATGAAAATTACAGTTTTATTCTTCAGCAACAGCTCTCATGGCTTGAGCTGAGAGATAGATAGATAGATAGATAGATAGATATCCAAACAAACTGGTAGTTTCACTGATGGCAAATCGCATACCGTTTTTTTAGCCCCCCTTTTCACTTATATCTTCAATCATATCACTACTACCCGACACAAACTGATCCCAACAAACAACACATATCATCATAAGATAAACACTAAACACATAATAATATGACAGTCCATACCATTTAGGTATCACTCTCTCTCTCTCTCTCTCTCTCTCTATCTCTCTCTCACTATATATTTATTTTGATTTTTTTTATATATCATATACAGTATATATATATATATATATATATTATATTGATATATACTGTATATTTAAAAACCCACTGTTAATCTCAGCGAAGTATTTTTGTTGCCAAAAGTCAATAGTTATTGATTTTTTTCTCGCAATTTCTCTCTCTCTCTCTCTCTCTCTCTCTCTCTCTCTCTCTCTCTCTCTCATGGATTTTGCGTAAATTTTATCTATTGTTTTGGTTGTATTGTATATATAAAAACAATATATACTATATATATATATATGTCGTTTGCATTGTTTTTTCCTCTCAAAAGAGCCGACAATAATATAATATATTATAGACATTATAAATGTCTTTTCATTTTCTTTTGCTATATATTTCTTATATAATGCAATAAACTTCAGACGTTTGACTCTCTCTCTCTCTCTCTCTCTCTCTCTCTCTCTCTCGCCGTTATCAGTGATAAAGTATCGGACAGTTATGTGTGTGTGTGTATGTATGTGTGGATGGTATGGTTTTTTGGTGATGGTGGTGATGGTGGGGTCATTATATCCATAAGCATACATAACAGGCCTTTCATAAGAAAACAATAGATAAACAAATAGTTTGCGATAAAAAAATACTAACCAACCAACAACAAAAAAATCAACTAAAATAATAAATAAAATACTCCCAAAAATTATATACAAAAATATACAGTACTAATAATAATAATAATAAATTTCTTACGACATATCTAACAGTATATATATATTACTATAGTTTTTCTTATTATTTTATTTTCTTATTAGTTTTTTTAGGTAATCTATGTTTTTTTCAGGCATTTTATTAGATTAGAAAAATTATAGCCCTAAATGTTGTGACCCTAAAAAAATAATATATATTTATATATATAAATCTGACATTTAGCTACACACTCAGGGGATAGACATTTAGAAAAATATATACAAATTATTATTATTGGATAAATAAGTTATTAATCATTTTTCTATTTAAATATATATACTTTACTAATAATATTGTATACAGTAATGCTTGTTATAAATTGTATTTTTTTTGGCTAAATGATATTATCAAATAAAATAGATTATTTTATTTTTTTATATTATTTTATCATATCATATCATTTGCATTGAATTTGCATAAATACAGTATATATATATATCTAAATGTGATTTTGAATAAATAATATTTTTATGGGATAAAAATATACAGAAATAATAATAATAATTTTTAACACTATTTATTATATACTGTATTTACAATAAATAAATTATTATAAATTTATATATTTGCATATATATATATAAAATGAATAATATTATTGACATTTACTTAAATTTAATTAATCAATAAAATTTATATTTATATATATTTAATATATTTAAGTAATATATTATTCACATACTAGAGCTGAATAAAAATGAAAAGTGCAAATAACATAATATTATTTTTTTTAATTTTTATTTGTTAACATTTACATTAAATTTTTTTACCATTAAATATTAATTCAACTAAACGGTTTGGTTATTATATTATTAATTTTTATTGGCACTATCTAGTATAACAACACCAACAACAAAAATAAAACAACCCGTAGTATAAATTAAATTTATGTATAATTAATTAATTAATTAAAAATAATATTTATATATAGAGTCTATTAGATGAATAAATATCTAATATTATAGTTTTCTTTCCCCTATTAATAATATTAACATTTTTATCACAAAGTTTATATATATATATATATGGTATGTCATATAAATGGGTAATAATTTATTAGTTAAATATATTTATATTTATATACTATATTAATATAAATTTAGATAAAATATATAAATATTTACTGCATTTTTAGTCTTATTTTTTTTATTTGCAATAACTTTTTTTTATGTGTGTGTGTGTGTGTGTGTGTTAGCTCAACACTACATTATTAATAATTAATTTATAAAATAGTATTAATAAAATAATAATAATAATAAAAAACAGGGAGAGATTTATTTTATGATAAAAATATTTTATTTTTATTCAATAATATTTATTATTATTATAATCATGGTCATTATTATTATTATTATTAAATCTAGACTTTTTTGTTTGTTTGTGTTTATATATATATATATATTATATACAGTATATATCAATACTTTGTTTGGCATTTTGTTTGTTTGTTTGTATGTGTGATCTAACAATTTATTTGTAATAATTTGTATTATTTTTGTTTTTACTTAAAATAACTAATTTTTTTCAACCAAAAAAAACTCATTTGCTTTTACACACACACATAAAAATATCTATATTTAAATTATCAATTTTTGTTGTGTGTGTTTGTGTGCCATAAAAACATTTGATTTTATTTTTAATGATTATATATGCAAAACAAAAACTTTTATTTTTAAAAAAAATTGTTGAATTAATTTAAGTTTTTTTTCTGATATAATCAAAAAATAGCATTTTGTTTGTTAATTTTTTTATCTATTATGATATAATTGTTTTAAAATCACTAATAAATATTTATATATAAATATTTTATTTTATATATAATATATTCACAAAATTTTGTTTTTAAATATTAAGTACAGAATTGCTAATAATTTTTATTTTTATTTGTTTGCTAACAATTTAATTAATTAATTAATTTATATTATGTGCGTTTATATAAAATATATAATACTTTAATTTTTTTTAACAAATTGCAACTAAAAGCTAAAATTTTAATTATAATAATTATTTAGTCAATCAATCAATTTTAACTAATAAACATGTTTTTGTTGCACACACACAATGCAAACAAATTTATACCATGTTTTTATATATATATACGATATATACATATACATACATAATATATTTTATATATAATACTGTATAAACTTTCAATAAAAACTATTAACTGTTTTTTTTGTTTTGTTTGTTTTCAGTTATATCATCATCATTATCATTATCATAATTTACATTTAATTTATTTATAAATATAAATTATTTTCTTATTCAATAATAACAATAAAAAAACAAATTGATATTTTGTTGGCCAATTTTGGGTGTGTATGTGTTTATGTAAGTGTGTGTGGTGTGTGTGTGTGTGTGTGCGGCCAATCATTAAAATTTGCAACTAATAATATGTTTACAACATTTAGTTAAAGTTAGAGAGAGAGAGAGAGAGAGAGAGAGAGAGAGAGAGATTGAAAGAAAGAGAGAGAGAGAGAGAGAGATTCATAATGATATACACACTGTATATGTTATGTAAAATAATAATGAATTCATTACAAGATATAAGAGAAAGAAAGAAAGAAAGAGAGAGAGAGAGAGAGAGAAATTAAATTACAATAAAATACATGTTTAATACATTTTTTTTTGTTTTTTTAACTTATAGTATATACGGTATATATACTGTATATATAATAAAATCAATGATAATTTTTTTTAGTGAATATATGATCGTCAATGGATAAAAATATTGTGTAATAATAATAATAATAAAAATAATGTTTATATAATTGTTGTTTAATGTTGTTGTTGTAGTAGTAGTAGTAGTAGTAGTAGTAGTAGTAGTAGTAGTAGTAGTAGTAGTAGTAGTAATAGTTGTATATTTCAGTACAATTTCATAATGTGTTTGAATAATAATACTGTATTTAATTTAATAATAATAATAATAATTTGGTGGGGGATTTTTTGATATTATTTTATTTTATAACAAAAATTAATTAATTTTTTTTATATAAGTATCACTATTATACATTTACCCACCAATTAATTAACTATTATTATTAAGTTAGACAATACACATACAAACAAATATATATATATAAACATTACAACAATATTTACGATCAAAATAAGTATTTTTTATAAAAAAACAAATAAAATTAAATAAAATGACAACTAATTTATTATTATTTTATTCACTTATAATAATTATAAAAAATAATAATAATAATAATAAGTTTATTTGATGATTGCCTAATTAATTACTAAAAAAAATCAATAATAATAATAATAATTGAAATATTAATTTATAAGTACAAGAAATTATTGATGATTTTCACAATAACAGTAATTAACTTGTATTTACTGTAATAATAATAATAATAATAATTATAACAAACAAACTGTTGGTAATTATTACAATCAATACAATAAAGAAAAAAAAATTAAAATAAAATAATATTCTTGTTTTTTTCAGTGTTAGCTTTGAAATTAATTATATAATAATAATAATAACTTGTTTTCCAATAATAATAATAATAATAAATATTAGGTAAGAGAGAGAGAGAGAGAGAGAGAGAGAGAGAGAGAGAGAGAGAGAGAGAGAGACAAACAGCACACAATATTTTTTAGATAAAAAATAAAATTGAAATAATAATATTGAAAGCACCGGCTGTTAGTTACTCTCTCTCTCTCTCTCTCTCTCTCTCTCTCTCTCTCTCTCTCTCTCTCTCTCTCTCTCTCTCTCTCTCTCTTACACAACAATTCAAAATCTTTAGCACAAAATCAATAATTTTTTTTGTTTGCTTTATTGTTTGACATAGTTTTTTTCATTTCAATGTTTTTGTGTTATAGTTAAAAAATAATAATTATATATATATATATAATATTTTAAGCATTTTGTTGTTGTTGTTATAAATGTGTTGTCGATTTCAAATATTACAGTTTAATAATAGAAATATTATTATTATTATTATTATTATTATTATATTTGTGTGTAAGTGTTTTGTATGTTTTATAAAATTATTATTTTTTGTTTTCAATCATTTATATATATATATATTTTAGTGTTTAATTTTAATTTTTAAATTTTAAATACTTTTATTATTTGTTGATCAAATGTTGTTGTTTTTCATAAAATAGCATTTTATATACCAAAAGATTTGTTTGTTTTTTTTGTTACAATTAATATTTGTTTGTTTGTTGAATTAAAAACAACTTTTGGCTAAAAATTATAATATACTGTATATATAGTTAGAAATAGAGAGAGAGAGAGAAAAAATAACACAGTTTACAAATGTGATGATTAAATAGATATTCAAAAAAAAACTAATCAAATATTAAATCTTATTTTTTTCAAATTAAATAATTTAAAATCTATTACTACTATTACTAGTAGTAATAATAATAATAATATATAGTTAAGTGTTTGTGTGTGTGTGTTTAAACATAAAAATAGTTATGTATTTATTTTTTGTATTATTATGTAATTAGTTAATAATCTAATTTATTTATTTTTTAAATAACTACAATATACTTGTTGTTGTCTTTAATTAGTTATATCTAATTTTGTTGTGATAGTAAAATTCATATAATAATAATAATTAATTTTTGATATCCTAAATAAACAACAGTTTTTTTCAGTTACCGTACTATTTTGTTGTTGAAAATTAATTTTTAAACTATATATTTGTTGTTGAAATTGATTAATTGAAAATCGGTTGTTTTTTTTAGTAATAATAATAATAATAATTGAAAAAAATCAATACACTATTTCTTTTTGACCGGTCCTCTCGGCGGTGTTACCGGTCGGCCAGAGTTTAGACCTCCGTATTGGTATTTTGCCTTTTTCTCGGATGGCTTTAGTATCTGTTAGTATTTTTTTCGGGTAATAAATGCAAAACAAAAAAAAAGAAAAAAATTACAATTTGACAAAAAAATTTAATTATTTTAAAAAAATGTCAAAAGTTATGTGCGGCTAAAAATAACTGATATTACAGTACTATATATCTATCGATAGCACACACACACACACATAGCGTTGATTGAGGTCAAGGCAGGCGCGCTCAGGGAGGATCTGTATGCTAAAGATAGACACACAATTACTCACTTGAAAAGAGCACATCAGTGTCTCATCGACGGACATCATACCGCCGGCGTTGTCAAACTCGCCGCAATAGTTCGGCGCCGAAAACAATGTAACCAATTGGCGTTTGGCAAAAAATTCGTAGCCATCCTCAACCACTTGATGTGCCCGACATATCAGATCCAGATCGTGACGGTTGAGGAATTTGCTGACAACATCGGCACCGAATGTAAACGATACGCCCCTATCGTTTTCGCCCCAACCCTGGACATCCTTATCAGGATCCGACCACAACAGGTCGCATAGTAGGCCCGTATCGGGTACGTCAGTCGGACGCATTATACGGCGAATTTGTTCCATTGATTGCAAATCGGGTGATAGTCCTGGGGGTGTTGGTGTATATGTGTGTGTGGAAAGGGTATTATCAATCAATAAACATTATTAATTATTACATTAGACAACAAAACAACTAAAGAGAGAGAGAGAGAGAGAGAGACTGTCGTGTTTACCTCCGTGACAGCAGAAGATCTTTTCATCGATAATAGCAGCGATTGGCAGACAATTGAAACAATCTGTAAATGTCTTCCACAGCTTAATATTGTATCTTCTTTTGCCTAAAAAAACAATGAAAACAAAACATTATATATCATATCATATCAAATGATTTATGACAACAGTTGTTGCTGTTGTAGTGACAATAGGGGAGAGAGAGAGAGATAGGAAAGGGAGACACAAACAAAAAATAAATAGATAGATAAGCGACTCGACTTTGATGGTGGAAACACCACCAAAAAACCGGATCGGATCGGATCGACCGATAGATACATACATTCGTCGTAAAAGCCATAAATTCTGTTAATGGAAGCGCACTCGTGATTGCCTCGGAGTAGGAAAAAGTTTTCCGGATATTTTATCTTATAGGCCAACAATAGACAGATAGTTTCCAGCGATTGTTTGCCTCTGTCCACATAATCGCCGAGAAACAGATAGTTGGCTTCGGGTGGAAAGCCGCCGTACTCGAACAACCGTAATAGATCAGTGTACTGGCCATGAATGTCACCTGAATTGGGGTTTCGGGTGTCATATAAGGATGGATGAATGATAGTATTTTAGTAAAAAAAAGTTATGTCGATTTTTATCAATCAATCATAAAATATGAGAGAGAGAGGCAACTGTCCCCATCAGCAAACACTTACCGCATATCTTGAGCGGCGCTTCCAATTCCAATAGAATCGGTTGACTGAGAAATATTTCCCGTGACTTTAGACATAGTCCGCGGACCTCGGCTTCGGCCAATTGGACAGTCTTTCCCGGACGACAACCGCGAACTATATATACAAATAAACAAAAAAAAAAATTTTTAATATAACTTTAAAAATTGATATTTAGTTTTTATTTTTTGATATTTTTGAATACAATTTAATTCAGTGATTAGTGAGGGGAAGATAATTTTTTTTTTGGGGGGGGGGGGGTAGCAAAAATTTACTATTTAATTATATTGCAATTATAATTTTTTTATTATTATTAGTTTCAAGTTGATGGTAATTATTATACTTTTACAAATTATTATAATTAACAAAAAATAGATGTAACTTAACATTTAATTAACTTTAGCTAAACTAATTGCTAAATGAAAAATACATACAAAAAAAATGCCAATTCATTTAGATTTCAATTTTTATTATTAGTAATATTTAATACTATAATATTTGCAATCAATGATATATCATAATAAATATATATATAAATATTTATTATTATTTTTATTTATTTTTTTTTTGCTAACACTTTCAACAAAATTTATTCATTCAATAGTTAATGATATTTGATTTTTATTAGTATCATATCATATATATATATATAAATTATATGATTATACAGTATATATGATATAAATAACTTTTTTTAGTATTATGATAAATACATATATATTAGCTGATGAAATTTATTAGTCATATATTTATATAGAAATTAAATAGTATTTATTTTCACACCATTAAAATATTTTTTTAAAAATATAATATTTATGCAAAAATATCATATTATCAGCAAATGTTTAATCAACAAAAAAAAACTAATTAAACAAAACTATCAAAAAAATAAAATAAAAAATATTAACAAATGTTTAATCAACAAAAAAATAAAATAAATTATTAAAATTACTATAAATTAACTAAAAAAATAAATTGCAATTAATTATCATATATTATCGTTAAAAATAAAATCTATGGACACCTAATGGTGTCCCATCTAATGGCAAACAAAATCATGGGATCAATTGGTTTTTTTTGTCTATCTGTATGTATGTATGTGTGTGTGTTATAGTAGATCCAGTCATCGGATGGTCAATAGATATATATCATAATATCATTAATCAATCAATTAATAGGTCATACCTTCGAGGAGTCGGCTAATTATGCTATCGATGTTTAGATCGCTTTCGGAGCTCATTATTATTATCGACAATAACAACAACAACAATACCAACGATGACTAAGAAGATTATTAAGAGAGAGAGTGTGTGTGAGACAAGGATATCAACTATAATACCACAATTCAGTCAAACAATTCAATTGGTGGTATCAATTGGTTGTAACAATTGGTGATATCAATTGGTGGTAACAATTGTTGGTATCAATTGGTGGTAACAATTGTTGATATCAATTGATAGGATATATTCAACACACAGTAGTTGATGGTTATGATGATGACTCTCTTTATATCTCTCTCTCTCTCTCTCTCTCTCTCTCGATGGGATCAATACCACGAAGACAACGACGACGACAACAACAACGTCTTTTTAATGTCCAATAATGTGATGCAAACACAACAACGACAACAACAACACACTGTGTTTATATACCTCCAGAGGATAACGACAACAACGACGACGACGATGAAGACAACGATGACTATACAATCACAACCACAACAACAACTGCACAATAATCACACCAAACACTTGATGTTTATATATTATTATTAATAATAAATAATAAACAAAATATTATAAATAAATAAATAATAAAATACTAAATGAGTTGTTGTTGTTGTTGTTGTTGTTAACAGTACTGAACGCACAATCAAAATGAACGATAGATTCAGTTATTATTATATTATATTATAATATCATATAATGTATTATATATTTTTAGTTACTGTCTGTATATACTATATATATATAGTGTGCAGTAAAACATACACTAATAATATTATAGTAATATTACTAATAATATATACATACAGTAATACAGTAATAATAATAATAATAATAATATGTACACTATTTTTAGTTAGACATATACAGTGTGTGTGTATGTATTTTATATATGTGTGGGTATTAGACTACTAATACTATACACTGCATATACTGTATGTACTGTAGAGTATAGTACAGTCAGTACTGCTGATACTAACCATAAAAATAAATGGCCGACAAATAGCTAACAATATATACACACAGTACTACATACACACACACACACACACACACACACACACACACACACACACACTGTTAGACTATAATGAATATACACTTAAATGTTATATACAGTACACATGCGTTTCAAACACACACACACACATAAAACTACAGTATATATATTATATACTGTATACAGAGTGGCCACCAGTATAGGTCAATTTTGGATAATCTAGAAAATTTAAAAAAAACTAGTTAATTTGTTTTATTATCCTAGAAATTATTTTTTAAAACAACAATTATATATATAACTAAAATATATTTTTTTAATATACTATAGAAATTAATTTATAATTAATTTTTTGTTTGTTAAATTAAATATTTAAAAAAAATCTATAATTTCTGTCTAATTTCTAATAATAATAATTTCCAGGATTAATCAAATATTATAGGTTACTCTAGTTACGTATAATACTGTATAAATTACAATGAGTTTGCACTACTCTATTAAGTGTGCGCCGCTTATAGAGTACACACACACTCTCTCTCTCTCTCTCTCTCTCTCTCTCTCACTTACACTAGACTCTATATATTCAATAACCAAACCGTCACTTAATAAAACCCCTAACCAACCCGTTACTAGAAAATATAAAACCAATAGCTTAGCAAAAAAATGTGCATAGAGTTATTTTATGTACTTATTTTAAAAAAAAAACTTTAAAAATAATTTTTAAAAATACATTGTACAGTACTTAGAGAGAGAGAGAGAGAGAGAGAGAGAGAGAGAGAGAGAGAGAGAGAGAGAGAGAGAGAGAGAGAATGTATGTATGAATAGCAAAAATAAAATAAAAATATCAATTTTTTTAAATAATTAATTTAATAAATAATCAAATAATTATAATACAGTAAACAATAAGTTTTTTTTTATAAATAACAAAAAACTTGGAGTTTTTATCTAGATAAATTTTTTTGTTTTATTTATTTAACGATAACACTAATTAAATACATAAAAAAAATGAATAACCTTGCTAATATTTTTTTATTAGTATTATTAGTATTTAGTTTGTATCTATAAAAATAATTTTTGTATTTACTATGCATTTATAGTATGCATTAAATAAATTAATACAATTTATATTATTTTATTTTTTTTAATTATTAAATGCTATGATAACCTATTGATAACATTTTTTATATTATTATTATTATTATTATTAAAATTGTACATGTATTGTTTATTTTGTTTTCTAGATTTTTAATGTTTATTTTGAAAAGTCATATTATATTTTATATAATGCTAATAATAATATTAAATATTTATTGAATATGTAGTATATACAAAATATTAAAAATTAATTATTATTACTACAGTATTATTATTATATTAAGTAACTTAATAAAAAAAAATAATAATAATAATAAAAATATTTATTAGTAGTTTAGAAACAATTAATGGCTTAACTGATAACACACACACACACAAACACACACATAGACACACACACACACATACATACACACACACACACACACACACATACATACATACACACATACACACATACACACATACACACATACACACATACACACACACACACAGAATAAAAACTATTAATAATAAATATATATATATAAATGTTAATAAAAATTTCTAACATTTTTTTTAGTTAATTAAAATATTTATCTTTTAATTTCAATTTGCAAATTAATTTTTTAAGAAAAAATATTTATAACAAATTATATTATTATTTGTTACTTTAAAACAAAAATTTAGTTTTTTTTTTAAAAATATTTATACATATAATTATATATGGTTTTTTATCATATAGATTATTAACATTATAGATATTTTAATTTTATTACAATTATTATCAATTGTATATAATATATATATAATAATTATAATCTATATTATCTCATTATCATTTTTTTTGATAATTATTTTATTTTTTTTGTATTAATTAATTAATTAATTAATTAATTAAACAATGTAACTTATATGGTATTATTATTATTATTATTACCCACATTAATACTACACTTGTATAATAAATCTAATTAAAAAAAATAAAATAAAATTTAATAGGGAGATCCTATTGCTTTGTTTAAAAAAATTAAAAAATAATAAATCAATACTACTAATACTATTGTACTAGCAGTTCAATGATCAAGGTCAATAAAATAAATTAATTTATAACATACTTTTTCACACACACACACACACACAAAAACTAAAAAATATTGAATTACTAATAAAAATATTTTTTAGTTTTTTAATTTTTTATATTAAATATGAATAAAAATATTTATATATTATCACATTAGTTATACAACACCACGTGTTTTAATGAATATGAATAATAATAATCTTAATTAGTTTTTTTAGACTAAAATCTAATCAATAAAAATTTAAAAATTTTAAATTATTTTAGATTAAAATACTGTTACGTTTTTCTTAAATAACATTTTTTATTTTGTTTAGTAAATTATATTAATTGACATTGATTTTTTTTATAAAAAAAAATTGTCTAATATGGTCATCGACACAGTTATTATCGATAGATAAAAATAAATATTTATATTAAAAAAAAACTGTTAATTTTTTAAAAAAAAAAAATAGTGTAATAGTAGTCAAAATTATCAATAAATTTTAATAAATATATATACATATAGTAAATGATTAAATTGTCAATGTAGTAAATTTCCAACAAAAAAATTTAAACAAAAATTTAGAAAAATATTATAATTAAAATTAAATTATTTAAAAAAATTTAATATAGTTAAATTTAGAGATAATAATAATAATAGTTATTAAATTCTAGTAATTAATTAATTATTATTTTATACAAGCAACTTTTTAAAAAAAAACAATTATTAAATTAATGTTTTTCTAGCATGCTTAGTTATCATAGTTATTCAATATACTGTAATAATTATTTGTGCATGTTAAATGTTTAAAAAAAATTAATAAATAATAAAACGGGTAACGTAATTTAAGAGAGGTTATTTTTATATACTGTACAATACAGTTTACTACCCATAATAAATATTAAATAATAAATCATTTATAATGCAATGCAATTAAACTTTACAATAAAAATTTATTAAAACACACACACAAAACAAAATGTTAAAAAATAAATATTACAATTGATTGATAAAAAAAAAATTTACAAAAATAATTAATTAAAATTAATTAATATATTATTTGTATAATTAAAACTTACATTTATGTGTGTGTGTGTTATTAATAGCGAGTGTTGACTGTATTAGTATTGTGTGTGTGTGTGTGTGTGTGTGTATCGCACTGTTCATTGTGTGCATTGGAAATACAGTATACATATAAAGTGATAGACAAACAAAAAACAATTGATTTTGATTTTTATAATACATTTTATTATTATTATATAATAATATAAATGATATCTAATAGTAATAATAATAATAATAATATAAATATATATTATAAGTAATAATAATAATAATAATAATAATAATAATATTGTATTTTTTTTAATGAGTGTTTCGCGCGACTAAACAAAAAAACAACACAAAAGTAAACAACAATTAAATTATTATTAAATTAATTGATTAATTGATTTGAATTTTTGAAATAATTATTAATTAATTAATTAATTAATTAATTATTAGTATTATTGAAGACTATAACTAACCGTTTGATTGTTACATATATTTGAAGCCAATGTTGTTTACGGCGTTTAGATTCAGTTGACATCTCATATCTCTCTCTACTGCTACCGAAAACTACCGATAGTTGTGTGGACACCCGATTACCCGATAGATCACACTTACCGATCAACTATTCAGACAACTACTGACTGACCGACTGACTGACCAACCGATAGGACAACAACTACTACTACAACAACACAACACAACACAAGACATAATGGCCGTTGTTTTTGAAGACGTTTTAGTTAAAGAGCTCAACGAAGATACCGATGAACTGATCGAAAAGTTTCCGAACCATACCATTCGGATTCAGGTGATCGACGAAAGCGATAATCTATTGATCCGATGCAAGAGTGCCGTCACCGGCGTCGGCGTCGGCAACAACACCGGCGTCGACACCAATGCCATCAACAGTCTGTACGACATCGAAGTCTACAAAGAGTCGGATACGGCTGTCTTTGGCCGACACGGTTTTGCTATTACCGAAAAGGACAGGACATTTGTACTGGAATTTGGCCGTCGAAAACAACAATCGCAGGCCCGGGATTCCGATCTCCAGGTGTTCAACAAATTGATTACGGATTTCAAATACGGTCGCAAAGAGTCGGTGTTTTCGCAGCGTACCGATGAATCATCCGCTTCGCAGTACTTCCAGTTTTATGGCTATCTATCGCAGCAGCAGAATATGATGCAAGATTTCATCCGTACGTCGACCTATCAGCGGGCAATACTGGCCAACATCGAGGATTTTAAAGATAAAGTAGTGCTCGATGTCGGCGCCGGTAGCGGTATACTATCGTTTTTTGCCGCCCAAGCTGGCGCACGCAAAGTCTACGCTGTCGAAGCCTCATCGATGGCCAAACACGCCGAAACGTTGGTCTACGCTAATAAGCTATCCGATCGGATCCAAGTGATTGCCGGTAAAATCGAAGAGATCACACTCGGCGAACAAGTGGACATAATTATATCGGAACCGATGGGCTATATGTTGTTCAACGAGCGTATGCTTGAAACATATTTGCACGCAAAGAAATGGTTGGCACCCAATGGCAAAATGTTTCCATCGAGAGGCGATCTACATATAGCGCCGTTCAGCGATTCGCAGCTCTATGTCGAACAGGTTTGTTGTTGTTGTTGTTGTTGTTGTGATCACAACTGATCACAACAATCATCTGAGATCAGATGATTAGATAACTAATGTCTTGTTTTTCCATTTACTTTTCCGACACAAAAAACAGCTGACAAAAGCTAACTTCTGGTTTCAGCAAAACTTTCACGGAGTGGATCTGTCAAGTCTGAGAAGTGCGGCCCTTAAAGAATACTTCTATCAGCCAGTAGTCGATACATTCGATGTCAGGATATGTACGGCCAAATCGTTTCGCTATTCAGTCGACTTTACCAAAGCTGACGAACAAGATTTACATCGAATCGATATACCGTTCAGTTTTTCGATGCTCCAGACGGACGAAGTACACGGACTGGCCTTTTGGTTTGATGTTGCCTTTTTCGGTTCGCAGCAAACGGTTTGGTTGTCGACAGCGCCGACACAGCCGCTAACACATTGGTATCAGGTATGCGATGAACGAGTAGTTTTTGTTTTATTGTTGTTGAGGTTAGGATTATATTGATTTTAATACTAATACTAATCTAATAGGTCCGATGTCTGGTCGATACACCATTGTTTGTCCAAAAAGGACAAACACTATCGGGTCGTGTGGTATTGGTATCGAACAAAAGGCAGAGCTATAACGTGGACATCGAGTTGTGTGTGGAAAACTATGGCCGCATCGATAAGGCAACCAATTCGCTGGATTTGAAGAATCCGTATTTCAGATATACGGGTCAACCGCCGCAGCCGCCGCCCGGCTGTAATGATCAGTCGCCGAGTGAACAATATTGGCAAACATTGGACGCTTCAACCAATCAGTCGGCAACAAACCAGAACGGAATGGTTGTTATGAATGGCATCGGCAATGGTGTTACCGGCGGTAATCATTCATCTGTTATTGAGATAAACAGTATGCAAATACAGGCCCCAAACAATGGTTACGCTGGTCATCATCATCAGCAGCAACACCATCAGCAACACAATCACAGCCAACAACCGATGATTACCGGAAATATGATGCCATTATCAGCAGCAGCATCGGCACCACAGAGCCAACTGATTCAAAATCTATGTTCACTGCCGGTCAGTCCGAATGCCGCCTCCCATCAGAGCCGCAACAGTCCGCTAAGCCATCATCATCGGCAAGTGGTTGTACAGCCAGTGGCAGCCCAAGTACCGACCAGTTCTATTGGCGGCGGTATCTCTCCATCGCTATTCTCTTCATCGGCCAATACAGTACAGCAGCAATCGTCTGTCGGTGTTTCCGTTTTCAATGCCGGAGCCAACAACAGCTTTCCGGTTAACACAAGCCTAATGATTGGCGACTATGCGGTCGCTTCACCACAAAATCTGATTCTTCCGCCACAACAACAGCAACACCAGTCGTCGTCGACAACAGTGGTTTCGCCACACAATGTATACAAATCGGTCCATCATTGATGTCAACCCAAACAACCAAAACCAAACCACAGACACACACACACAACACATCCAGTAGTTTATCTAAAGTGTGATCAAAAAAGAAGAAGAAGAAAAATCAGATGAAATAAAACACAAAACAATAGTTTTTTTGTTGAATATTTAGATTTATTAAAAAAAGCAATACATTTGTGTTAAAAAATAACATTTTCAATGAAAAAAAATACAGCAATTGTTTTTTTGATTACAAATTGTTTTTTTTGTTTGTTTGTTTGATTTTATTTTTTTTTAATTATTATTATTATTATATATATATTTTCGATAATGAATTAATTCTAACTTAATTTCAATCAACAACACACACACACAACTGATTTATTTATATATTTTTATTAATTATTTAATTAATTAATTAATTGTTTTTTTTGTCTCATAAATTCTTCACTCATTTATAATAATTATTACACTTTTTTTTAATAATATTATTCTAATTATTATTATTATTATTACTTATATTTAAACGGTTCCTGAAATGTTTTAATTTAATTTTTTAATATTTCAATTATTATAATTATTTTATATATATAATTATTTTGTGGTAATATTTTTTTAAAAAACAAATACACACAAAACTCTAGGCTTTTTTTTGAATTAATCAATTGTTAACAATTTTTTTTGGACTGATTATTATGATTATTATTATTATTATTATTACCTAGTATATATATATATTTATATACTAATTTGTATATCATATTTTAATTTATTTATGAAAACAAAACAACAACAAATAATTGTGTGAAAAAATTAATTATTTTAATTTTATTTATCAAAAAATCCAGATTAATTTAATTAATTAGATTTATATAAAAAAATTTTATGGTAAATAACTTATACTGTAATAATAATAATAATAATAATCTCTCACTTTCTCATTGTAATAGATTTGCTGTATATTATGTACTGTACATTAATTATTTGGGTATACTTTTATTAATCTAATTATTATCAATTAATATTATTATTATCAAATAATATCATATAAATAATCCCATTAAATCAATTAAGTATTGATAATTATATATATTTTTTAATCAAATTATAGACTAGTTTTTCAACAACAACCAAAAAATAAATGAGAAAATAAATTATTTAGGTGACATGTTTTATTGATAAATATATATATATAATTAATTAACTTTATGGTAATTTATAAATTTTTTAATTAATTAATTACTTAATTAAAAAAAACAAATATATTTTAGGCTCAATATTTGTTATACAATACTGTATATTGAAAAAAAAAGATAATATCCCTTTGATAAAGTAATTTTAATTATTACATAAAATATAACATTTAATTTTAAGTGATTTTAAAATGATCCAGATAGTTTTACATTTATATATAATTGTATATTAAATTAGAAATTTTGTGATTTACTTATTATTATTTTTTTTATTTAAAAAACCCTTCATTTTTTTGGGCAACAAAAAAGTTTTTTTTTTGTTGATGAAAACAATTGATATTAAAATTAGTTTCAAATAGTTTTTATTGATTTGTTTAATCAAATATAATTTATATACACTATAGAGACGCACACATTGTATTCAACTACAAAAAAAAAATAATTTGAATTATTGTTAAAATTAATTATTTATTGATATTTTTTCTAATTTTTTTTCATTCAATTATTATTATTAAATTATTATATGTAATACTTAAAACATTTTTTTGTTCAATTTTTTTTTTAAAAACAATAAAATCCATATTTTGTTAAATTGTTTTATTTGTTTAATAAACAAATCTCTCATCAATTGATTGGTAATTAAGTCTTTGTTTGTTTTATTTAGTATTTAGTTTTCAATATTATAATTATTTAAGAAAATATTTTATAACTTTATTTTAGATAAATTAATATAAAACAATTGAATCGTTACTTAAATACAGATCAACTAATTTAGACTAATTTTGCTTATTTAAATAAATTAACTTTTAACTATTTTATTAAAAGTTTATTTTTTTATATATTCAATAATTTAATTATTCTCTTATAAATACATTATAATACTATAATATATTAATTTTGAAAATTAAAAATATTATTATACAGTATATTGTAATTCAGATTTGTAATATAGATAATACTGTTTTTTATTTTATTTTAATTTTTTGTTTCAATACCGTAATTAATAATAATATTTAATTTTTTAAAAAAAAAATAATAATATACTGTATATCTATAAATATATTAAAAACAAAACAAAAAACTATTATTATTATTAATAATGTATTTATTTAATTAATTAATTAATTAATTAATTCACGAGAATATTAACTAGAATTTCAAAATACAATAATACTGTATATATTATTTGAACGATATTTATGTCAAACAAACAAAAAATAATTATTTATTAATAATAACAACAAAACGTTTGTTCAGTTAATTTGTTTTCAAAAAAACAAAACAAATCATTCAAAAAGTCATTTACCGCTCATTGACTTCAGTGACCAAACAACCAAACAAACAGACAATTAGTTATTATTATCACCTAATAATCACATCCCAAGACTATATCCGATTGACTGACTGTATCGGTGTTGCTGTTGTTGTTGTGGCCAACCGTTTGTTGTTTTGCCCGATCAGAGACCGCGGACACAGAAAAGCGCGCCTCAAATGTCAATACCGGACGATTCGTGGCGCCCGAAGTCAGCGATACTCGAGACCAGGTTTGCCAACAATCAGTCAATCAATTGATTTCTAATTATAATTACCATTCATTTGATCCGTTTGTTTTCACTTATCACTAAAGTATGGGTGAAGTAGTTATCGAGTTATACTGGTCTGAGTCGCCCAAGACTTGCAAGAATTTTGCCGAACTTTGCCGAAGAGGTTATTATAATAATACAAAATTTCATCGAATTATCAAAGGATTTATGATTCAAGGTATTTGTTGTGTCCGTCCGTTCAGTTTCATTCATTGATCACCACTTCTGATCCAATCTATCTCTATCTGTCTGTCTGTCTGTCTGTCTGTCTATTTGTTTCTCTCTCTCTCTCTCTCTCTCTCTCTCTCTCTCTCTCTCTCTCTCTCTCTCTCTCTCTCTCTCTCTCTCTCTGTCTGTATCTCTCTGTCTGTCTCTGTCTCTCTCTCTCTCTGTCTCTCTCTCTCTCTCTGTCTCTCTCTCTCTCTGTCTATCTCTCTGTCTGTCTCTGTCTCTCTCTGTCTCTCTCTCTATCTCTCTCTGTCTCTCTGTCTCTCTCTCTCTCTCTCTCTCTCTCTCTCTCTCTCTCTCTCTCTGTCTCAGTCTCTCTCTTGCGATCACTAATTAACTATTGTTATCAAATCAATTTAGGCGGCGATCCGACGGGCACTGGACGCGGCGGTGCCTCAATCTACGGACCGAAATTCGACGACGAAATACATCCATCGCTCAAACATACCGGTGCCGGTATCATTAGTATGGCCAACTCGGGTCCCAATACCAATGGCAGTCAATTTTTCATAACCCTAGCGCCCACTCAGCACTTGGACGGTAAACATGCCATCTTTGGTCGCGTATCTAATGGTATGTCAGTTGTGGAGAAAATGGGACGAATAAAGACTGACAAAACTGATAGACCTGTCGATGAGGTGAAGATCTTGAAGGCATCGGTCAGGGATTAGGTTATAGATTGGTTTGTCTGAACAAACCAAACCTACCATTTGAAATGATAACAACATTTTATTTTTATTACTATTTTTATTTTATTACAATACAATTATTATAAATTTATATGTCATTTAATAATAATAATATTATTATTATTATTACTATCAATAATAATATTATAAATTATCGGTTAATGTAATGTTTAGTTTAACATTTTTTTTATAAATATAAAACAAATTGTTTGCTTTTTTATGTTATGAATTTTTTTTGTATTAAATTATTATTAATTTTATTAATATTTTTTTAGTTTTGTTTTGTTTTGATATCCAAATTGCCGATACATTCAAACAAATAAAAATTGTTTAAATTATAAATAAAACAACAAAAATTATTATTATTAAAATTGATATTAAAATTACATTCAAATAGTATTTCAAATTTATTTAGTTTTTGTCATTGATTTGTTTAATCAATTATATAAATTAAGACAAACACTATACACATTGTATTCAAAAGCAAAATAATTGAATTAATTTTAAAATGAATTATTTATTGATAATTTTTCTTATTTTCATTGAATTTATTAATTAATATTTTAAACCTAACCGGTAAATTTTATACGGGTTTTTCGGGTATATCTCGGAAACGGGATTACCGATCCGGCCAGGACAAAAAAATGTGCAAGTTTATATTTTTAATATCTACAATTCTACGGTTATTTTGTTGTCCATTCATCGGTTGCCGAAATAATTGGGTTCTGCGGACATAATTTGTTAAAAAATAACCAGTTTTTCGGGTATATCTCGAGAACGGGACAACCGATCCAAAGTACACCCAAAAAATTATATTTTTTTTAACAGTTTAAAACTTATAGCCAACAAAAAACCGTGTCAACCACTTTTGAAAACGATTATATATATATATATTAATTAATAATAAATAATATAATAATAATTAATATATATATATATATATACAATAACACAGTAGAGAAAATATTATTGAGCTTATTAAAAAGCTATAATTAAATTTGATATATTAATAATAATATTAAATAAAAAAAATAATTATTAATTAATTAATTAATTTTAAAAATAATAATATGGCTCCATTTTTCAAATAAATAATATTAAAATAAATTATTTACTTTTTAAATATAAGTAATATTTAAATTTTTAAAAAGCTACCATAAATAATTATCAAGATGAAAATTACTAAATTTTTTTGCTATTTAATATTTATTATTATTTTGTCGCAACAATTATTTGTAATTGGTCAAGATGGTTTGTTTTACAATATATTAATTTACTAAATTAATTAGGATATATATATATATATAAATAATTATATTTAAATCTATTAGTTTAAACTTTAAATTGTTTTTATTAAACGAAAAATCAGGTGACAATGGAGGTAATGGCGGTAATGGGGGTCCTTTCGGTTATGGGGGTAATGGGGGTAATGGAAATTCTGGCGGTAATGGAGGTGATGGCAGTAATGGAGGTGATAGTGGTAATGGAGGTAATGGGGGTAATGATAATCAGCAACAAACTGAAACAACAACAACTGAAGGTTAGGACAATCATTATTTATTTATTTATTTTATTATATATTAATTATTAATGAAATTATTTCTATAAATAAAAAATAATATAAATTGTTTAATAAAATTGTTTACTGACTATTGTATATTAATAAGGTAATAATTTAGGTGGTAATGGAGGTGATGGCAGTAATGGAAATTCAGGCGGTAATGGAGGTCCTTTCGGTTACGGAGATAATGGAGGTAATGGCGGTAATGGAGGTGATGGCAGTAATGCAAGTCCTGATGGTAATGGAGGTGATGGCAGTAATGCAAGTCCTGGTGGTAATGGAGGTGATGGTAGTAATGCAAGTCCTGGTGGTAATGGAGGTGATGGTAGTAATGGAAATACTGGCGGTAATGGAGGTGATGGCGGTAATGGAGGTCCTTTCGGTTATGGAGGTGATGGCAGTAATGCAAGTCCTGGTGGTAATGGAGGTGATGCTAGTAATGGAAATACTGGCGGTAATGGAGGTGATGGCGGTAATGGAGGTCCTTTCGGTTATGGAGGTGATGGCAGTAATGCAAGTCCTGGTGGTAATGGAGGTGATGCTAGTAATGGAAATACTGGCGGTAATGGAGGTGATGGCGGTAATGGAGGTGATGGCGGTAATGGAGGTCCTTTCGGTTATGGAGGTAATGGGGGTAATGGAAATTCTGGCGGTAATGGAGGTGATGGCAGTAATGGAAATACTGGCGGTAATGGAGGTGATGGCAGTAATGCAAGTCCTGGTGGTAATGGAGGTGATGGCAGTAATGCAAGTCCTGGTGATAATGGAGGTGATGGTAGTAATGCAAGTCCTGGTGGTAATGGAGGTGATGGTAGTAATGCAAGTCCTGGTGGTAATGGAGGTGATGGTAGTAATGCAAGTCCTGGTGGTAATGGAGGTGATGGTAGTAATGCAAGTCCTGGTGGTAATGGAGGTGATGGTAGTAATGGAAATACTGGCGGTAATGGAGGTGATGGTAGTAATGCAAGTCCTGGTGGTAATGGAGGTGATGGTAGTAATGCAAGTCCTGGTGGTAATGGAGGTGATGGTAGTAATGCAAGTCCTGGTGGTAATGGAGGTGATGGTAGTAATGCAAGTCCTGGTGGTAATGGAGGTGATGGTAGTAATGCAAGTCCTGGTGGTAATGGAGGTGATGGTAGTAATGCAAGTCCTGGTGGTAATGGAGGTGATGGTAGTAATGCAAGTCCTGGTGGTAATGGAGGTGATGGTAGTAATGGAAATACTGGAGATGGAGGTAATAATGGAAATCCTGGCGGTAATGATAATCAACAACAAACCGAGACAACAACAACTGAAGGTGAAGCCAATAATTATTAATTAATTTAAAAATAATTAGTTAAAATTTTAATAATCAAATAAATTGTTATGTGACTATTCTAGGTTATAATGGAAGTAATGAAAGCAATCAAATTGAAGCTACACATGAAGGTGCTAATAAAGGTGACGAAAATAAAGATAATGAATTAACAAATAAAGAAGATCATAACCAGGAAACTACTACTCCTGGAGGAGATCATAGCGAAGATACTACTACTCCTGGAGGAGACAATAGCGATGAAACAACTACTCCTGGAGTAGATAATAGCGAGGAAACTACTACTCCTGGAGGAGATCATAGCGAAGATACTACTACTCCTGGAGGAGACAATAGCGATGAAACAACTACTCCTGGAGTAGATAATAGCGAGGAAACTACTACTCCTGGAGGAGATCATAGCGAAGATACTACTACTCCTGGAGGAGACAATAGCGATGAAACAACTACTCCTGGAGTAGATAATAGCGAGGAAACTACTACTCCTGGAGGAGATCATAGCGAAGATACTACTACTCCTGGAGGAGACAATAGCGATGAAACAACTACTCCTGGAGTAGATAATAGCGAGGAAACTACTACTCCTGGAGATCATAACGAGGAAACAACTACTCCTGGAGTAGATAATAGCGAGGAAACTACTACTCCTGGAGATCATAACGAGGAAACAACTACTCCTGGAGTAGATAATAGCGAGGAAACTACTACTCCTGGAGATCATAACGAGGAAACTACTACTCCTGGAGGAGATCATAGCGAGGAAACTACTACTCCTGGAGATAATAACGAGGAAACTACTACTCCTGGAGGAGATCATAGCGAGGAAACTACTACTCCTGGAGATAATAACGAGGAAACTACTACTCCTGGAGGAGATCATAGCGAGGAAACTACTACTCCTGGAGGAGATCATAGCGAGGAAACTACTACTCCTGGAGGAGATAATAACAAATCAACTTCTACAGAAGATGATGATGATGATGGTAGCGATTTTATTGAAGAAGATACTGACGATGGTTTCTTTGCTAGTACTTCTGAACGTAAGCAAATCAATTATAAAATTACAAATACAATCTAACTTATATTCAACAACAAAAAAATATTTGTTTTTAATAACTAGTAAAATTAATAAAATATTGTTAAAAATTACCAACAAAAAAAATCAAATAGATAATAGATAAAAATTAACATTTATTTTTTTTTATAGAAAATACTGCTCAAAGTATTATTAATACTTTTCAATTAATTTTAGAAAGTAACTTGATGATTTATATTTAAATTTAAAAAATTAAATTTAATAATTTAAATAATAAGATTTAATTAGTAAACTACACACACACACACTTACACAAACTTACGCATTCAAACATACATTCTGTATATACATACATAAAACACGTTCATAAACACACATATACATAGACACACATACCTACACACACATACATACAAACACACACACACACACACAAGTAATTCCTTTATAATACATAAATATTTATTTTAAAAAACTATTTAAAAAACTTTCAATTTCTTATTAATAATTAATATTTAACAAACAAACAAATTAAACAGACATATATAATATATATATATATATAAGTAGGTATATATATGACACTTATTATTATTATTATGCTAAAATATTTAAATATTTTAAATTAAATTTTTTTTATTAAATTAAATTAAATTATATATATTTTTAAAATTTATAATTTCATTTTATTTATTACAATAGTACCGACAGAAAGTAGTTGCTCTGCAGGTGTTCCGTGCAAACAATCAGCTGATGGTTGTTGTTATGGTCAAGATGTTTGTCATAATGATAAATGTGTTAAATTAGATTTTGATGAACTATTGGGTCCAATGTTTTAAAATAACAATTTTACAACATTTAAGATTTATAATAATAATAATAATAATTTAATAAGTTTTTAATTTATGTTTGTTAATTCATATATATATATATATATATATATATAAGCAACAAAAATATATTAAATAATTTAAATATTATAATGAAATAAATTATTACTTATTTTTTTGGTTTAATTTTGTTTATAATAATTTTTAAAATTTAATAAATAATAATTATTTACAAAATTTTAATTCTTTTGTTTTAAGATGGATCAAATTAATATATAGCTATTATTTATAAACTATAATAAATTAATTAATTATAATTAAAAAAATTATTTAAAATTATTGTAGATTAAGACAGCTAAAAGCTAAAAAAATACTAAAATTAAAACTAATATATTTTTTACTCAAAATAAAATATTTTTTATTAAGAATTATAATTTTTCTAAAATTTGTTTTAATTTAATATATTTTTGGTATTAATTTATATATATATTTATAAATTATTAATATTTATAATTTGTATATGTTAATAAAAATAGTTTATTTTTTTTTTGATAAAAATAATATACTAATTTAAATAAGGAATCTAATATATCAATATAATTTTTATAAAAAACATATTGCGTTTAATAAAATCAATAAATAAAATAAATAAAAATAAATAAGACGCAGTTTAAATTTAATTAAAAAAATAATTAAATTTTGAAATAATTTTTATATAATAGTTTAATTATTAATCTATATTGTTTCGGTTAAAATACTTTTTAAATATTTTTATATCTATAAGTTTTTAATATCTATATATATATATACTGTAATATTAATTTAGACAAAACAAAAACAAAACCAACAATGAAACTATCATTAATGTTTTGTTTTGTAATATTTATTATTTTGTTGGTTCTATTATTTGATGCTGGTCAGTTTATATATATATATATATATATATATAATATAATATATTTCTAGCTAATTATATGATTTAAAAAAAATAAAATTCTCAATAAATACATAATTGTTGTCATAGATGGACAAAAACAAAACACTAGAAAAGTTAATCAAAATAAGGGTCAAAATGGTGGCAAAAGCAGCGGTAAATCAACAGCTAATCGAAAAACTGGTACAAAGGGTTCGACAAACGGTGTCTCAAAAGGTTCGTCTAGTAGTGCCTCAAAAAGGTCGTCAAGCGGTGCCTCGAAGGGTTCGTCTATTAGTTCCTCAAAGGGTTCGTCAAGTGGTGTCTCAAAAGGGTCGACAAGAGGTACCTCAAAAGGTTCGACTAGTAGTTCCTCAAAGGGTTCGACAAGTGGTGCCTCAAAGGGTTCGACAAGTGGTGTCTCAAAAGGGTCGACAAGAGGTACATCAAAAGGTTCGTCTAGTAGTTCCTCAAAGGGTTCGACAAGTGGTGCCTCAAAGGGTTCGACAAGTGGTGCCTCAAAAGGGTCGACAAGAGGTACATCAAAAGGTTCGTCTAGTAGTTCTTCAAAAGGTTCGAAAAGTGGTGCCTCAAAGGGTTCGAAAACTGTTACCACCACAAAAGGTCCTCCAACTGGCGAATATGCTTTTGTTAAAACTAACAGAAGAAAAGGTAACTGGTACGGTAAACCCGTACCCCGGGGTCTTATACCACCTCAAGACAAAGTGCTTGAAGATATTTATTGGACTGCTCTTAAAAAGACACAAAAATACTTTAAAGGTAATATATATACGGTATATATATACATATAATGCCAATTAAAACTTTACGCTAAGCAAGGTAACTTGATATACAGTTAACTTGATATTAGGTAAGTTATATAAAGTATTGTTTAAAATATTATATAATGCATTTGAAAAATAAAACTGTATACTAAGTTATTTAGTTAAGCATAAAGATATTAATCAAATTTAAACTTTCCAAATTGGCATTGTATAACTATTATATAATAAATAATGACATTGAATTATTAATACTTAATATTTTTAAAATAAAATTATTCTAATATATTGTATGAACATTTCGTAATAGATATTATTATTAAAATATGCCATAATTTAAGCCAACGATGTTTTTATCATTCGTGTAATGCCAATAATTGCAAAGAATCTTATTATCATTGCAAAAATGGGGCAGGGTGGTTTCCATTTGGTCCGGGAAAGACTACTTGGAAATGTAGAAATAAAAAATGGATTAAACAAGAAAAAATATAAATAAATTTTATGAAAATAAATTTTTATAATAATAATTTTTATAAAATAATAAATTTTATGAAAATAATTTTTATATAATATTAAATTTTATAAAATAATAATTTTTTAAAAAGAATAATTTTTATTTTATAATAATTTTTATGAAAATAATAATTTTTCAACATTAGCATCAACAATTTTAATATTATTTTAATTTATTGTTTTTTTTTAAATAATTTTGTTTTCATATTTTAATACAGCAACTTTTTATCAGCTAAAAATATCAAAAAAAAATATTAAAATGTTTTGTTTACAGAAATCTAAACTATCGTTTTTCTTGAGTCTGTCTGTTTGTCTGTGAATAGTTTTTTACAAATTAGTTAGAAATTCTGACTTTATATTCGGTTAGAAAAATACTAATAATAATATATATTTTAAAAAAATTGTATCAAAAATTTTAAAAATTTATAAACGCAAAAGATATAAATATGTAATCGTTTCCATAATGTATAGATTAATAGATAGAGAAATTTTTTAGAGTAAATAACAACTTTACTAGTAATTATTGTTTTTATAGCAATGTTAAAACAATTTTATTAATAATTTTATAAATTTTTTTATAAATTTTTATTGTACTTTATTTAAGGAATCAAAATTAATATTTAAAATCATATTGTTATAAATAAATTATTTATTTACATCTACGGTATACTAACAACACGTACTTAGCAATTAAATATTACATAATTTTAAATGATTACATTTTTTTTAATAAATAAGTTTTAATTAAATTTTATGTATATATATATCACTATAATTATCTGTATTTAACTTATTTGACTAAAAAAAGACAACAAAAACAAAATAATACAAAATGAAAACTAAAATATAAAACTATTTAATTTTGATTATTAGTTTATTGTTTCTAACTGTAAACTTTTTTTTAAAAAAAAATACCATTGAAAGATATTTTTTAATTATAAATTAATTAGGTAGACATGGATCATCTATTAATAATAAAATTAATCATAAATAAAAATCATGGTTATCATTGTTTAGTTAAATAAATTAATAATTAAAACATTAATTAATATAATAATATCATTAAATTATATATTTATAAATAACATACTGTATTGCATTTAATAAAATCAAATAAATAAGACGCAGTTTAAATTTAATTAAAATAAAATTTAATAAAGTATATTACTTAATCAAAATTATAATTAAATAGTTAACTTATTAATTGATATAATTATTTTTAAGTATTTATATATATATATATATTAAAGTTTACAATGAAGTTATCACTAATGTTTTGTTTATTAATATTATTTTTTTTGTTAGTTTTATTATTTGAATCTGGTCAGTTTATATATACTATAAATAAAATATTTAAAAAATAAAGTTATAACGATTATTATTTAAAAAATTATCTCATTTTCTCAATAAATACATAATTGTTGTCATAGATGGACAAAAACAAAACACTAGAAAAGTTAATCAAAATAAGGGTCAAAATGGTGGCAAAAGCAGCGGCAAATCAACAGCTAATCGAAAAACTGGTTCAAAAGGGTCGACAAGTGGGACCTCAAAAGGTTCGTCTAGTAGTGTCTCAAAAGGATCGACTAGTAGTGCCTCAAAAGGGTCGACAAGAGGTAACTCTAAAGGGTCGACAAGAGGTAACTCAAAAGGGTCGACAAGAGGTAACTCAAAAGGGTCGACAAGAGGTAACTCTAAAGGGTCGACAAGAGGTAACTCAAAAGGGTCGACAAGAGGTAACTCTAAAGGGTCGACAAGAGGTAACTCAAAAGGGTCGACAAGAGGTAACTCTAAAGGGTCGACAAGAGGTAACTCAAAAGGGTCGACAAGAGGTAACTCTAAAGGGTCGACAAGAGGTAACTCTAAAGGGTCGACAAGAGGTAACTCTAAAGGGTCGACAAGAGGTAACTCTAAAGGGTCGACAAGAGGTAACTCAAAAGGGTCGACAAGAGGTAACTCTAAAGGGTCGACAAGAGGTAACTCAAAAGGGTCGACAAGAGGTAACTCTAAAGGGTCGACAAGAGGTAACTCTAAAGGGTCGACAAGAGGTAACTCAAAAGGGTCGACAAGAGTTAACTCTAAAGGGTCGACAAGAGGTAACTCAAAAGGGTCGACAAGAGGTAACTCTAAAGGGTCGACAAGAGGTAACTCAAAAGGGTCGACAAGAGGTAACTCTAAAGGGTCGACAAGAGGTAACTCTAAAGGGTCGACAAGAGGTAACTCAAAAGGGTCGACAAGAGGTAACTCAAAAGGGTCGACTAGTAGTGCCTCCAATAGACGTCCAACTGGCGAATATGCTTTTGTTAAGACTGGGCGAAGAAAAAGTAGCTTGTACGGTAAACCAATTCCCCGGGGTGTTAATCCACCTCATTATAACAAATTACTTGAAGGAATTTATTGGGAAGCAATTAAAAAGAAAGAGGACTATTATAAAAGTAAGATACAATATAAATATATATATATATATATAGCAAACGTTATCAGATATATTATAAGGTCCCTTATTTTAAAAATAAAATTAATGACCAAGATAAAAATCAAACAAACAAAAATATAATACACAAATTAAATAACAAATTTTATGAACTATTAAATTACATAAAATGTTTAATTGTGTGTTTGTTAAAGTGTTAAATGTTAAAAAATATTTAACAGTGTATTTGAGCGAGGTCAAATATATTTTAATAAACCATAAGCTTCGACAGTGCATTTTAATCAAAAATTATCAAAAATCATTATCCGAATAACGCCTCATATATAGTTTATGCCAGTTAAATGTTTTTAAAATAGATATTCCCATCTCAGTTTGCAAATATTTTTTTTTGTCACAGGTCAGGTGCTGATGATCATGGGTGAATTTATTTATTGTTAAATAACCCATGTTAATGCCTATATGGCTATTGAAATATATGTGATATACTACCCTAGTTTTTTGTACTGTAATTTTTATTTATTGTTTGCAAAAAAAAACACTGTGAGATCTTAAAGGGAGAGTTTAAAATTGTTTTAAAAAAATATTACGTAATACATTAGCATTAGATACTTGATAAAAAAAAATGTAATAATAAGTTAGTCTTGCTTAACATTGAAAGTTTAAACTACTGTATATACACACATGAGATATTACACAAAAATTTTAAAAACTTAATTGGCATTATATATCTATATATATCTATATTATTTTTTTTTATTAAATTAAAATATATATTCTTTAATTTTAATTACTAATAATAATAAAAAAAAAAATTTTTTTAAATATATTGTATGATATTTATTTAGGAATTGTTATTAAAATCTGTCATGATTTAAGTAAACGATGTTTCTATCATTCGTGTAATGCTAATAATTGCAAAGAATCATATTATCATTGTAAAAATGGCGGCGGTTGGTATCCATTTGGTTTTAAACTAAATACTGTTTGGAGATGTAGAAATAAAAAATGGACTAACGAGGAAAAAGTAGTAAAAAAAATTTGAAACTATCAACATTACTAATTTTTTTATATATAAAATAATAAATTTTTATGATATAATAATTTTTTTATGATTTAATAATTTTTTTATGAAATATTAAATTTTTATGATTTAATTATTTTTACGATATAATAATTTTTTTATGATTTAATAATTTTTTTATGAAATATTAAATTTTTATGATTTAATTATTTTTACGATATAATAATTTTTTTATGATTTAATAATTTTTTTTATGAAATATTAAATTTTTAATGAAATAATAATTTTTATGATTTAATAATTTTTTATGTTACAATAATTTTTATGATTTAATAATTGTTTATGAAATAATAAATTTTTAATAAAACTAAAATTTTCAACATTAGCATCAACATTATTCAACAACAACAATAATATAATAAATTTATTAATTGTTATATAAAATTTCGATTGTTGTTTTTGTTTTTTAAAGTTAATTTTATCATTTTATTACAGAAACCTTTTTTCAGTAAAAATATACCAAAAAAAAAATAATATCTAAATAAACGTTTGTTTTTACGGGAATCTAATAAATCGTTTTTCTGTTTGTCTGTAACATTATTTTTGCGAAATTTTTAAATTCTGATTTTAGATTCGATTAGAAAAATACTAATAATGTATACAAAAAAAATTGTAAATTAAAAGATCTTTTAAAAACTATTTTAAAAATACATTATTAAAATATACTAATTGATTGTTATTACACTTTTATCATCTTGTAATTATTATCAAAAGTAAATTTTTGTTTTATAAAACATTTTAAAATATTTGCAGCTATATTACTAACACTTAGTTGGCAATTAAATATTACTTAATTAGAAATAATTTTTAAAAAAATTAAAAAATGAGTTTTACTATAATTTGATGTAACTCGTTTTTGATTATAATAAATAAATTTACACTTACCGTAATTTAATCATCAAAATTAATGTTTAATTAATCATATTTTTATAATTAAATAATTTAAATACATCAATATATTACCAACACGTAGTTAGCAATTAAATATTACATAATTTAAAAAATTTTATTAAAAAGATATGTTTTAATAAGATTTCATAAAGTTTAACATAGATATAGAGTATTTCAATATAGTTTAAAGTTATCCATATTTAACTTATTTGACTAATTAATTGATAAAAACTAAAAATAATACAAAATGAAAACTATTATATTAAATAACTTGATTTTAATTATTAGTTTGTTGGGACTATTGTTTGTTTCAGTTACTTTTGGTTAGATAAATACTATTAAATAATATTTAAGTTTTTTTTTAAATTAAATTTTATTATTAGGTGGACAAGGATCAACTTTTAATGATAGAGTTAATCACAAGTCAAATCAGGGTAGTATCAAGGTTTAGTTAAATTATTATAATAATAATAATAAATTTTATTATTATTACAATTATTGATCTAGGTGGAAATGGTGGTGGTGGTGGTGGTGGTAGTGGTGGTAGTAGTATGTCAAATTTAATAGATCCAGGTCATGTAATGTATAATGCAATACTAGCACATAATAAACGTAAAACATTTTTCTATTTATTAATTATATTTAATTAAAGAAAACTTATTTAAAAAAAACTTTATTTATGATATAATACTATAATATTATATTTTATACTTTTTTAAAAAAATAATTTTTAGAAGGAATCAAAGATTTTTGTCATCAATATGTTTTGAAATTATGTTTTCAACTTTATTGTAATCTTCAATATTGTAATCAAATGAATGCAAAATGTCTGAATGGCAAAGGTTTCGATTATAAAACTAATGACAAAAAACTAGAACTTTGTACTGAATTTGAGAAAAAAGGTTTTTTTTGAAAAAAATATTTTTTAATTAAAAAAAAAATATCTATTCATTCATTATTTTAAACAATTTTTTTCTAATTAGGTTTTATTAAATATAGAAATAAAGGCGGCGGACGGTCTAACCCACAGAGACAACAACAACAAAAACAACAACAACAACAACAACAACAAAGTAAGTTGCGTGTATGTGTATGTATGTATGTGTATGTGTATGTGTATGTGTATGTGTATGTGTATGTGTATGTGTATGTGTATGTGTATGTGTATGTGTATGTGTATGTGTATGTGTATGTGTATGTGTATGTGTATGTGTATGTGTATGTGTATGTGTATGTGTATGTGTATGTGTATGTGTATGTGTATGTGTATGTGTATGTGTATGTGTGTGAATGTGTATGTGTACAGTATGTGTATGTGTGTGTATGTGAATGTGTAGGTGTATGTGTATGTATGTGTATGTTATTATAATTAATTTTCTGTTATGTTTGTTTAATTATCTAGATTTAACTATTATTATTTGTTGTTTATTTTTTTACCTATCATTAATATGTGTGATTTTTTTTACAGTAAAAAAATCTATGAAAAATTTATTAGATCATTCAATAAAATCAAATGATCCAGTTGATAAACCAGAATGTCCAAATGGTAATCCTAAATGTTTTGGTGAATGTTGTCCGGACGAGCATTGGTGTATACTCAAAGGTACTGGCTTAATTGATCCTGGTTGTCATGGACCATCAGATCTAGGTGTAATGTTAGCTGGCTAACAAAAAATAAAATACATGATAATGCTGTTAATGATGACCAAAAAATATTTTATTTATTATTTTAATTTTTTGGTAAACCACCATTAATAACTATTTATAAATTAAATTAATAATTAAATAAGATTTACATGTTTAAATTTATTTTTTGATGACAAATAAATAAATAAATAATTTTTAAAAAGTAATCCATCTATAGTATACAGTATATGTATATATTGACTGATCTATTATTACTAATTTAATATGTTTTTCTAAATACACTATAATGTAAAACAATGTAAATTTATTATATAATTAAATAGTAGCATTAATATATAAAATAAAAATATATATATACTGTTTAATTCATATATCTAAAGCTATCTATAGTTTTTACTGTATTTATATAATAAATAATTAATTTTTATATTTATATAAAAAAAAAATTTAACATATAACTAGAATTTTTCAAGCATGATAAATTAATTTTAATTTAATTTATTAAAGATTTTATGACTACAAATAAATTATATTTTTTTTTTATAAATCGTTTAATAATTTATTTAAATAATTGATATTAACTTTCATTTTACTAAAAAATGGTTATTTAATAAATTATTTTTAAGTAACGATTTAAATAAATTTTATATTAAAAAAATTATTAAAGTTATTTATGATATATTTTATATAGTTAAAATAAAACGTTTTATTTATTTTTATTTTTTATAGATATTATAAATATTAAACATTAAAAATTTGTCAATAGAATTTGTAGTTGTTAATTTAAAAAATTAATGATTTTAGTTTACTATATTGTTTAAATTACATTTAAATAATTTTTTAAATAACAATCATAAAGTTATAAACTATTACTTAATTATTAATATTTAGTTTTAGAATAAAATATTATTTTAATTAATTATATTTTTATCTATTTGGTAGTTATTTATTAATCGGATAACCATTAACCAAATCGTCGATTATTTGGTTTTATAGATTTTATAAGTTTTAAATTAAATTTAAGACCCAATCGATCGAGTTTTCTGTAATTATTGTTCAATAGTCTTAAATTTTCTGATTATTCGTCATTGAATCGACTGAAAACCGTAAGATGAACTATAATTAATAATATTATTTTAAAAAAATTAATTAAAACAATAATTAAAATTTTATAAAATTAGTCGTTATATAATAAAAAAATAGAACAATGATTCGAATTAGAATTTATAAACTTTCAAAAAATTATTTAATTTTTTAAAAATTATTTTAAAAAAAAATATTTTGTCATATCTTAATTGATTTTAAAAGTATATATTTTTTAAAAATTACTTCAAACACAAAAATACATTTGTCTATCAATTATAGACAATATTTTTTAAATTTTATACTTTTTACTAATATTTTCAGTTACATTTTTAAAAAAAAAAATTTAATAAATTTTCTCAATTATCTAATTTTAAAAAATTCATATATTTATGTAAAAATGGATTAATAGTTTATAGAAATATCCTCTAACTTGAAATAATTTGAAAATTATTATTTAGTTATAAATTAGTTAAGAAACTGTTTGATAATAATTTTAATTTATGTTTAACTATTAATTTAACTCAAAGAAATACTAATAAAAACAATTCTAATAATAGCTATAATAATAATAATAATAATTAATATTAAATATTTGTAATTTGTTTGTATTATCTATTAAAAATATACAAAAATAACATTTTATAAATGAAATAATTAATAAATTTTAATATGTAAATTTTAAATGTAATATTTTGACAATTTGTAGTTGTTAATTTTTAAAAATATATAATTTTAGTTTACTATATAGATTAAATTAAAAGGAAATATTTTTATTTTTAATAACAATAATAAAGTACATTATATAATAAAATTATATAATTATTAAGTTTTTATTTAAATAACTGTTCGGTAGTTAATCGGACAATCATTAACCAAATTGTATATCATATTGTTTTTGTTGTTTTACTGGTTTTAAATTAAACTTAAGACCCAATCGATCGAGTTTTCTGTAAATATTGTTCAATAGTCTAGCATTTTCTGATGATTGGTCATTGAATCGGCTGTAAACGGTTAGATCAACTATAATTTAAATAAAAATTAAAAAACAATTATTAACAAATTTATTAACAATATTGTATATTATATAGATACTCGATTAAAGATTGTTAGATCAACTATAAATATAATAATTATATTTATAAAATAATAATTAAAACAAGTATTAAAATTTCATAAAATTATTCTTAATATTATATATATATATCAGGGTTAAGTAAGGGGGTAGAGGGGGGGTAAGGCCAAAATACCCCCTCCTAAGATCGAGATTTTGGGATTGACAATATGTACGAAATTATGTATATTTGACCTGTTTTAGAATGTTATTTTATAACCCATAACTAATGATTTTAAACGTATTTATGGTTTTATATCTGAAAATGTTTTGTAGCATTCTTAACTGGTCTTAATTAAAATTTACTGAATTTTCTTATGACCCTATAATTGTTAGTTTTTCAATTTAAAAAAATTATCATAAAAACAACTTTGGAAATTGTAAACAATTTTTTTGTAATTTAATCTTATTAAAAAAATATACAATTTTTATTAGCATTTCCTTTATGTCTTACTACAAGATTCGACTGCCATCAGCATAGGTAACATACATACCATTCAAATCATCTAATATTGTATATCCAATTTTTGGTAAGTATTTAATATTACTATGAAAAATAAAATAAAATAGACAATAATTAAAATTTTAAAACTTTTGAAAACGAAATAAAATAACAAATTGAATTTACTGTTTTAAGTATATGTTAGAATATATGTACGAATTAAAATTAAAATTTTTATAAAATTATAATCTAATAACTATATTATTTTATATAAAGTTTTTATTTTATTTACCTTAATGTCAGTTTTAATTCGGGCGGATTACTGTCCAATACGTTTTTAATTTCTAAATTTTCTTTTTAAATTTGTTGAATAAATTTCATACCAGCTACCAGTCATCTAATAATAATAAAATTGTAATTATAAATTGTACTAAATTATACTTTTTTTTAAGTATTTTTAAATATTATTTTATACAATAATTTAATAACTTAGAATATATATATATATATATATATATATATATATATAGTTTACTTATTTAAATTATTTAAATTTATTAATTACTACCACAAACAGTTATTTTATTGATCTATTTCAGTTACACTATAAAATAAAAACTTATGTATAAATTATTGATTGTAAAACAATAGAGCATATGAGTCCAGCTAAACTATTATTTTAATTAAATTGATTAAATTTTAAGTTTTAAATAGATTGTAAATTAAGATTTACAACATAATTTAAAAAGTTTTATTTTAAAAAATATTTCCTTAGATGTCATTAAAGAAATTGGAGGTAAATCAGGTAGCTTAATTTTGTTGCTGTTTGAGTTATTGCCGCTATTGTTGGTGTTAATGCCGCTTACAGTGAAGTTACTGCCGCTATTGTTGGTGTTATTGCCAGTAATGTTGATATTAGTATAGTTACATTTTACCTGATTGTTAGATTCAATCAATATTATTACCAATATTAAAACTAACCAAGATAACAGGTTAATTTTAAACATTATTTTATGTTTATAGTTATTTTAAATAAATGTTAAATTAAAGATCTTTACAAATTTAGCACAAATACTATCTAAACTAATTAAAAATTTATATTCACTAAAAATGGAGAATTTATTAATATATTTAAGTATTAATTGACACAGATTTTTTTAATAAAATTTATTTTTATCTAAAATCACTTACATATTAGCAAAGATTTAATTATTAGTTTTAAATTACAATTTTATTTATTTTAAAACACACAAATAAATAGTTAGAAAGAATTATTTTTTACATATTACAAAATGTTGGCATAGAATATTAAAATTAACAATGGTAATCGGATAATTTTAGACATTATTATATGATTATATCTATATAATAAATGTAAAATTAAAAAAGATTATTTATGAAATTTTTTTTATTAATTTTATCTGTACTGACCTAGCACTAATATAATATCTAAACTAATTAAAAATTTATATTTACTAAAAATGGACAGTTTACACAGATAATAATACATAATCTAATTTAATTTAACATTATTTAAACAGATCTAAAAAAATAATATGGTAAAAAACAATTATTATTGAAAAACATTTATAAATTAGTTTATATAATTATATAAACAATTTAGATAACATAAAATACTATTTATAAATATATAAATATATTTTTGCTTTGTTATACAATTTATTGATTTTTATGTTTTAAAAAAAGTTATTTATGATTTATTTTTATATAGTTAAAAGAAAACGTTAATAAACTTTTTAATTTTTTTTATTTATTATAGATAAAAATTACAAAGTTAAATAAATTTTAAATATAAAATCAATGAATAAAATTTGCAATTGTTAATTTTAAAAAATTTATAATTTTAGTTTACAATATTGAATAAATTACAAGTAAACAAAAAAAATTTAATAACAATAATAAAGTATATAAACAATTACTTAATTATTTAGTTTTTGAATAAATTATTATTTTAAATAATTATATTTTTATCTGTTCGGTAGTTATTTATTGATGGGATAACCATTAGCCAAATCGTCGATTACTTGGTTTTTGTTGATTTATTTGTTTTAAATTAAATTTAAGACCCAATCGATCGAGTTTTCTGTAAATATTGTTCAATAGTCTAACATTTTCTGATGATTTGTCATTGAATCGACTGAAGACGTTTAGATGAGCTATAATTATAATTATTAAAATAAAATAATTTAAACAAGTATTAAAATTACATAAAATTAATATTTATAAATTTTACTTGCTAATAAAAATTGTAATTGTTAATTTATCTTTTTAAATTGTAAAAAATTATTATAATAATAGCATTTAAATATATTTTATTATATATAAATTATTTAAATTAATTTAATAAAACAATCTTATACCACTTTAAGAGTAAATATTATTATTTTTTTAATTACTTTAAACCTATACGTCAATCATTGACATTAATTTTGCAAATTTTTTACTTCTTTATTTTTTAATTAAAATTTACTAAATTTTCTTTAAAAACCCTTTGTTAATTTTTTTAATTATTTAAAAATTATAATATAAGAAAATTTTATAAAAAAAATATACCATTTTTTCTCATCTCAGATCTCATTACAAGATAGCGTTCAAAATCATAGTCCAATATATTATAGTAGATTCGGCCACCATCAGTATAGGTAACATACATACCATTCAGATCATCTAATATTGTATATCCAATATTTGGTAAGTCTTTATAATTACTATGAACAAAATAAAATAGACAATAATTAAAATTTTAAAAACTTTTTTAAACTAAATAAAATAACAAATTGAATTTACTGTTTTATGTATATGTTAGTATTCGTATAAATTAAAATTAAAATTTTTATAAAATTATAATCTAATTATAGTAATACTATTTTATATAAAGTTTTGTTTTTTTAGTAAATATTTTATCTATATTATATATATATATTTTTTTTAAAAAAGTAATAATTATATTATTTTATATAAAAAAAATAGATTATTTACCCTAATGTCAGTTTTAATTCGGATGGATTACTGCCGAATACGTTTTCAATGTCCAAATATTTAGATATTTTTCTATTTGTTGAATAAATTGCATACCAGCGACCAGTCATCTAATATTAATAATAATAAAATAGCAAGTATAAATTGTACTAGATTAAACTTGAGTAAATAATTTAATAACTTAGATTTATATATATATATATATATATATATATATATATATATAGTGATGTACCGATTGCAAAATGCGCAATTGCATTGCTCGGAAATTGCGTGAAATTGCCGCAATTGCAAAAAGATCGATTGCGAAAATCGCAATTGTACAAAAATTTAAATGGCACAGCAATATGAATAAAAACATAAATTAATTATATAAAATTTAATTATTATATCATAAAGTTAATTTTTATACATTCCCTCATGCGCGCAATTTCAAGCAATTTCACGCAATTTTCCGCAATTGCGGCAATCGAAAATTGAATTGCGAAAAATTACCAACAGTATATATATATATAAAGATAATGCCAATTAAAAGTTTAAATTTGAGTAAATAATTTAATAACTTAGATTATATATACTAGTATATGTATAAATACATATAGTTTACTTATTTAACTTATATATATATATTAGTTACTTGAAACATACAGATATTGTATAGAACTATTGCAGTTAATTTATTATAAAAAAATATGTAGAAATTATTGATTATAAATCACTAGATCATATGTGTCCAGATTAACTATTATTTTAATTAATTAAATTGATTAAATGTTTTATATAATAATAATAATCTTTATTTCACATACTTGTTATGAAATACAATATTCTCATAATAATATACAATAATATTTGACAATAAAATATGTTAAAATTATTTTAAAATTACATATTTATTTAAAATAACAATTAAGTAAATTAATTATTTTGTTATAATTTGTTTCATCCCTAATATTTTGTGGTAAATTGTTAAATAAATTTACATTATAATCAAAAAAGTTTTTATCAAACCTTTTTAATCTATTAACAGTTTTTCTACATTTTATCCCATGTCTAGTTGTATTATAGAATTCAACACAGTTTATCCAATTGTTAGGAATATCAATGTTTTTAAGTTTTATTTTAAAAAATAACTTCAAATTTTGTAAAATTCTGCGTTTACCTAATGATTCTAAATCTAAAAATTTTAATCTTTCATAATATGATAAATTAAATTTATTCATTAGCATACAGATATATTTTGTCACTTTTTTCTGAATTTTTTCAATTTTTTCAGATTGTGTTGAATTATATACTAAACATAGGTTACAATATTCAATTATGGGTATAATATAAGTTTGATATGCTTTTAAAAAGGTATTACCACTAGCTTTTTTACAAATATTTTTTAAAATTGCAAATTTTTTAATACATTTGTTGTATATATAGTTTACGTGAATATTAAAATTAAAATTTTTATCATAAAATATACCTACATTTTTGTTATTATCTATATTTTTAATTTTAGTAGAATTTATAAAGTAATCATTTATTTCAGTAGATTTAGTTGAAATTCGCATAAATTCACATTTACTGATATTTAATTGTAACTGATTTATAATACAAAAATTTGAAATGCAATTTAAATCAGATTGTAACTTATGACAGTCATTATTATTATTAATTATTTTGATTAATGTAATATCATCCGCATATTTAAAAATATAACTATTTAAATTTTGTATAATATCTGAAATGTATAGATTAAATAAAACACTTGATGTAACTCCACCCTGTATTACACCAGATTGTACACTAAATAAATCTGATTTATGATTATTATATTTAACATATTGGTATCTATCTTTAAAAATATCACATAAAATATTATAAATTTTATATGATAATATTTATATGATTTAAATATATAAACTGTTATTTTATATTTACAACATAATTTTAAAAATTTTTTTTTAAATAATATTACCTTAGATGTCATTAGAGATATTGGAGGTAAATCAGGTAGCTTAATTTTGTTGCTGTTTGAGTTATTGCCGCTATTGTTTATGTTAATGCCGCTGATAATGGAGTTATTGCCGCCATTGTTGGTGTTATTGCCAGTAATGTTGATATTAGTATAGTTACATTTTACCTGATTGTTTGATTCAATCAATATTATTACCAATATTAAAACTAACCAAGGTAACAGGTTAATTATAAACATTACTTTGTTTTTATACTTATTTTAATAAATGTTAAGTTGAATTAGATTATGTACTATCTGTATAAACTTAGCACTAATAATATTTAAACTAATCAAAAAATTATATTTACTAAAAATGGAGAATTTATTAATATATTTATATATTAATTTTTGCACAGATTTTTTTTTAAAAAAATATTTTCATTTAATAATGAATTACATATGAGTAATCATTTAATTATTAGCTTTAAATTATAATTTTATTTATTTTAAAAACATACAAATGAATAGTTAAATGAATTATTTTTAAAATATTACAAAATGTTGGCATTGAATAAAACTAATTAAAAAAATAAAACTAATTATTAAAATTTAATATTAATTATTATTGTTATAAATATTAATACATTATTAGCTAATAATTAATAATAGTTAAGACAATTATAGTAATTATTTTTAAAAATATATATTTAACATTTTTTTACAGATTTTTTAGTTAAATAAAACAAAACAATTTAGCAATAATTTTTTTTATAAATAAAAATATTTAACTAATAAAAATTATAATATATTAATATATAAATATAAAAAATTATTGTTGTTGTAAATTAAAATATGTAATTTATTATGTAAAAATAATAATAATAATTATCTAACATAGTTATGGCATAATCAGCATAAAGATATCAATCAGTAATATATATTTAAGCAGGCTAAAATAGGATATTGTTTTTAAATTAATAGTATTTTAAGTAATTATTAATTATTATTTTCTTGATATTATTAATTTTAAAAAGATACAGACACTTGTATACCCATAATAATTTATTTTTTTTATTAGTAAATATTATTATTGTAAAATAACAAAAAAAAAATTTTTGATAAATAAAACTATTTATTATATTAATTTAGCTTGATATTAATTTTATATTAATAATTTGTAATAATATTAATTTATATTTGATAATTGAGTCAATAATTTTTACTACAGTATTAATTAACTTAATTATATTTTTAATAATAATTAATAATAATAATTTATATTAAAATGATAAATATACAATTTATATATTTTCAAATAAATTTGTCCAATAAAACTGTATATAAATAATTTAATGTGTAATGAATTTATTTTTATAAATATAAATTATATAAAATATTAATAATTTTTTTTTAATTATTAGAATTACGAACATTAATAAAAACATTATTCGTATTATTCTGATTAGTGTTTCTTTGAGTTAAATTAAAAGTTATACATAAATTAAAATTATTATCAATCAGTTTCTTAACTAATTTATTTATCGCATTACCCGTCGATAGTATATTAAAACCAAACCATAGACTCAAAATGCTGGCCAATAGACACAGATATTCATTGAAATATAGTTTCAGATATATTTCGTAGACAGTTGTCGGCTCTGACGGTACTTCCAAAACAAATCGAAATTTTTGATTAAAACTCGATTCATCGTAATATTCTTTAGTTGTTACAAATGTATAGAAATGTTGTCTACATTTTCGATGATTATTACATTGTTGTTTGCAATTAGCATCCAATTGATAGCTAGTATTAGTAAAATATAGACTATTATTATGTATATCATAAGTAAATAGTTCTTTGGGTGTCTGTCCTCCTGATTGACTAATTGTTTGCCTAATCTGACAGTCGAACAGACACTCCAAACGTGTCTGTTTTGTATGACATTGGCCTCGATATGTCATAACTTTATCATCCAATACTGTTTCCCTATATCTAATATAACCCAAACCGGTGCCATTAATATTAATAATTTGTACATTTCTATATTGTAATAAATGATAGATACGTTCTCTATGCCAGTGTAACATTAAATATACATTATAGTTTTTCATAAATTTTAGATCAAAATCTAAGTTAGCCAGATATTTTGTACTACTACCTAGATCATAATTATAATTGTTAAATAGAGTGTGCTGATTTATTAATTTACCATCATCATAATAATCGCCATGTACATTGTTAGTGTTGTTGGTATGATTGGCAAATAATGTTAAACAATAGGCAAAATCATTAAAAAATTCATTTAGTTTAAATCTACCTTGACAATCATCATATTTAGCATCAATATTATTATTATTATTATTACCATGATGTTGTTGTTGTTGTACTTTGGTAAATAGACTACATTGTAGCCATTGACTACTATTGACAATTAGCATTATTTGTTTAGCAATTGATAGCTGATTTAAATTTCTATAAATTTTCATACACTCTGTACTTGTAGTAATACTATTGCCACTATGTTTACACTTTTCAATGGTTTTATTTTGATACAGGTACGGTTTTAGAAAATAATATTTATGCATACATACGGTTATAGCTGGCCATTTAAGTTGTGCATCCTCATCATATTTGACATTGGTTATTTTATCATACAATAGATATGTATAGCTTAATTGATACGTTTGAATACAGAAACCAATTATGTACAGTGAATGTAATAAATATTTCAAATAGATTTTATAATTTATTAATAACATTTTGCTTGTTTGTTAATTTTTTTAAAAAAAAATTATATAGTTTGTTTCATTAATTTTTTTTACACAAATAGCTATAGTTTGTAAATTTATTTTTATTTATACTTTATATTATTAGTAATTAGTTAGTTTATTTTTTTTTGTTTTATGCTAAAATAACAACAAAAAAATAATAATAGTTAATTTGTTGTCATAGTTGTCAAATAAAAACAAAACAAAAATCTAATTTTATAAATGTTAAAAAACAATTATTTATTCATTTTTTATAAAAAAAATTCCTACATTTATATATTAATTTATTAATAATTATATATCGATTAAATAGCACTAAATACTAATTATAAAGATATAAATATATTTTTGTTTTGTTATACAATTTATTGATTTATTTTTGTTATAATTATAATTTCTATAATAACAATTAAATGTTAATTGTTTTGTTTGTTATCTTGTTAAATTATTTTAGTACATTTCTAGTAATTAATAATTATAATAATAAAGATACAATAATTATTTATTGATTATAGATTATATATAGTTTAAGTAAATTTTAATTAATTTAATTTTATGTCTTAATAAATAGTAGTAGTAGTGTTATAGATTGATAAAATTAAATAAATAATTATTATATTATTCATTTAGCTATTTTTTAATTAATTAATTTTTTAAAGTTTCTATTAATAATCTTTTTTTATCTTAAATAATTTTATTTTTAATAACTTATTATAAAGGATATCATCATAAATAAATTAATAATTATTTATACTGTATAATTAAAAAAAATATTTTTTGTTTTCTAATATTAGTTTTATTTTATTTTTTTATAATAACTATAATAAACAAAAAAAAATGTTTTCATAATAACTATAATAAACAAAAAAAATGTTTTAATGAATAAAGTATTTTATTTTTATTTAGTTTTTTTATCAGTTTATTTAATTGTATTTATTTTTTAAAAACATGATTATCATCTGGCTTATAATAAATTATAATTAATTAATGGCTTATAATAATATTATTTTTAAATAAATTATTATAAAGAATATTAACATAAATAAATAATTATTTATATAATTATATAAAAAAAATAATATTTTTTATTTTCTATTATGTTTTTAATTTTAATTTTTTATAATAACTATAATATACAAAAAAAATGTTTTCATAATAAAGTATTTTATTTTTAAAAATTTTTTTTTTTTAAAAAACATCATTATCATTTGGCTTATAATAAGCAACAAAACTGATCAAAGTTAGGACAACATTTATCCCTAAATGCACATTGTATTTCATCTTTACCACATTGCTTGGCCACTAAATAATAATAATAATAATAATAATTAGTTAAAAATAGTTTAATTATTTTTTTTAGGAAAAAAAAATTTTATTGTAAAAAATTCAAATATTTAACAACAACAAAAATTATAACAAAATTGATTGACAATACCTGACATAGTGGTTGAGGCAATCATGAACAACATAGCCACCAGTAAAATGTATTTTTTAAACATCACCATGGTTAGTTTAGTTTTGATAGTATTAATATAGTTAGTAGTAGATATTGTAAAAATAGATTTTTTTTAATTAAAAATAATAATTAATTTTTAATTATTATTTTTTTTGTTGATTTCACTAGATATAACTAAAATTGGAAAATAGATACAGGCTCCTTATATACCCATAATTTTTTAGTAAATAAAAATAATTTATTAGTATAAACTCATTTATAACTTTTTAACCCATGCAATAATTAAGCATGTTAATTTACGATATTTTATTTTATTTATGTAATGTTATTGGCAACAAAAAATTTTTTTTGAGATTATTAACATTAGCTTGTTTTATGCTTGATCATTTTATTTCGAAAATATTTTTACATTACTAATTATTTATTTTTTTTAACTTTGTAGTTAAAATAATTGAATTAAAAATATAAGCTAATAATTAGATTTAGTACTTAATATTAGGAGTTTATATTTTATCTCAACTATTTATTTAAATTAAAAAATATCAATACAATATTAACAACAATAATTAAAAATTATTATAATATTAGATATGTATTAATTAGTAAATGCTGATATAATGCAAATAATACATTAATTTTCTATTAGTAATGCAAAAAAAATATTAATATAATTTTTTTTAATAATTTAAATATAATATTTAATTATATGTATAATTTATAAATAATTTTTTTTAATAATTTAAAGCATGGTACAATATAATGTCAATTATCACAAAATTAATTTGTGACAACACGTATTATACTATTATAAATATATGTTCAACTATCAAATATACTGTATATTAATTATTAAAAATATGCATGCTCATTTAGTATATTAGTAATATGTTATTTAATAAGTCTATTATTTTAAATAAAATATATAGTTTTATTGATCTAACATTTTTATTATTTATTCTGTATATAAAATAATCATTATTAATAATTTGAATAATAAATTAAGTGATTGTAAACTATTTTAATGTTTTTATATAAATTTTTTATATTTATATTATTATTGATTTATAGATATATATATATATAGAATATTATAATTACAGTGTTTTTAATAAATGTTTTTTTTAAATTTAAAATAATTAAAATTTTTATTCCTTCAATAGACATAAAAAATGTTTTGCACATAAAACTATAGCTAATAAACTTTTTATTATACTTTCAATTAGTAATTTGTTAGTTTTTTTTTGTTTTATGTTAAAACTAAGTATAATAACAAAAACAATAAAATAATAATTAATTTGTTGTCATAGTAAAAACAAAACAAAAATCTAATTTCATAAATGTTTACTATAATTATATAAGATTACATTAATAATATTTTAGTTAATTAGACTGTCATTTAATAAATAATTTAAATTTATTATCTAAAAAACAATATATAAAAAACATTTATTGCTGAAATTTTTTTTTGTACATTTATAAATTATTTTATATAATTATATACCAATTTTGATAATATAAACTACTATTTATAAATGTATAAATATATTTTTTTGTTATGTTACACAATTTAATGATTTTTATTATAATTACAATAATAGCAATAATGTGTTAATTGTTTTGTTTGTTATCTTGTTTTAATTATTTTAGTAGATTTTAGACTAGTAATAATAATAATAAAGATACAATAATTATTGATGTACATATTATTTAATAAAATTTTTATTAATTTTTATATCTTAATAAGTAGTAGAAGTAGTAGTTATATTTTGGTAATAATAAATAAATTATTATTATTTTATATAATTATTTATGGTTAAAATAATAATCTTTTTATTAATAATTTTATTTTTAATAAATTTTTTTAAGGTTTTATGATGTTTAATAAATCATTAGTTAATTAATTATGATTTATATATTAAAAAATATTTTATTGTTGTTACTATTATTTGTTTGTGCATTTGGTTAGATTGAAATTTATTAGATAAATAAATAACAATTAATAATTTTATAAAACATATATATAATATATATATATTACTTTAATATTTATTTTAATTACTATTATTTAATATTAATTATAATTTATTATTATTATGGAAATGGATGGATTTGGACAAGATTTTAATCAACAAAAAAAAGTTTAGAAAAAAATCATTAACAAAAATAATAAATGTTAAATTTTTATTAATTTATATATAGTATATAATTACATATTATTAATACATATTAAGATTTTTAATAAATAGGATTTTATTTGTAATAATTATATAATATATATATATACTTTATTATAGATGTTAATAAAATTATAATATTAAACTATATATAATAATTGATTAATAATTTGCTGCTTACAAAACAAAATAATTAATTAAAAAAATATTTGTTTGTTTTTTTTCAATAAATTTTGATTTTATAACTTTTCGGTAATTATTTGATTGATCGGTTAACCAGATTAACCTAATCGTCGATTTTTAGGTTTTTTGTTGTTAACTGGTTTTAAATTAATTTTAAGACCCAATCGATCGAGTTTTCTGTAAATATTATTCAATAGTCTAGCCTTTTCTGGCGATTGATCATTGAATCGGCTGTAAACGGTTAGTTCAACTATAAATTAAAATAATTATAATTAAAAAAACAATTTTTAACAAATTTATTAAAAAAAATACTATATATTATATTTATTATCGCTTTTAAGTCTAGATTATAAACAGTAAAATAAATTAATTAAAATTCATGCTATTTAAAAATGCATTAAATTACATACTTATCGTACCAAAAAAATTATATATATAATGTTTTTTTTCTATTTAATTACGTTAGATATTAGGTGGGGGTAAATGGATGGAGAGGTTAGAAAGTGTTAGGGTTTGGGTGGGAGGGGGAGGGGGAGAGGTTAGTGTTTTAGTTAAAATAAAAAAATTATATTAACATGTATTCAATTCAATGTTTTTTTTTCAGTGACTCCTTATGATCTATAGATTTTTTTTTTAATATTATAGATATACTGTATATTAGATTTATGTTTAATATTTTAATTTTTTTTTTAAATAAAAAATCCTTAAAAATAAAATAGAATTTTTTTATTTAAGTAAAATGTTTGGTTTTTTTTCAACAACAACAAAAAATCATTGATTAATAGAAAAATTATTAAATTTTTTGGCTAAAATTTTGTCCAAAAAAAAATAATTATACTAAATCATTATAAAATAAATCTATAAATTGTTAAAGTTTGTTAAATTTTTATTTTAATAAAAAAATATACCATTTTTGGATTTTGTATTTCTCATTACAAGATAGCGTTCAAAATCATAGTCCATTATATTATAGTTAACACGACTACCTTCATCATAGGTAACATCCATACCATTCAATTGATCTAATATTGTATATCCTCTTACGATTTTTCCATTAATTTCGTTACTAAAAAATATTTTTAAAAAAAATTATATTAAAAAAATTAGATATTTTATCATTATATATAAAAATATGAAATAATTTTTTTTAAAATTTACTTAAACATATATCAATAGTTACTAATTTTTGTTTTTTTATTGTTGTTTACCTTAATGTCATGTTGTTAGTTAATGTAAAAATAATTAGATATTTTATTATTATTATTATTATTATTAGTATATATATATATATATATATATATATATGAAATAATTAGATATTTTATTATTATTATTATTATATATATATAAATATATGAAATAATTAAAAATTAAATACATATTTATATAAATATCAATAGTTACTATTTTTTTTTGTTTTTTTTAGTTTACCTTAATGCTAGTTTTAATTCAGGCGGATTAGAGCCGAATACGTTTTCAATATCCAAATTGATAAACATATTTGAGCTTGTTGCATAAATTTTATACCAACGACCAGTCATCTAATTATAAAAAAAAAATTATTTTTTTTATTTAGTTATAACTAATCACAATTACTTTTTTTATAAACAAGGTTAATAAAGAGGGGGTGGGGGGGGGTTAAGTCAAATGACCCCGTCTCCACCTCTTCACAATCAAGATTTTATGGATTTCACTAACCAAACGTTTTGACCAAATGGGGGGAGGGGGGGTGTATGTTAAAAACGAGTAGGTATCACCCCCCCCCTTTAAAATTTTAGCCCCCAAAGAGCCATTATTAAAATATTAAAAATAACTGATTAATGTTTTTATCAACTATTTTTCAATTTTAAATACATTATTTTTTTTAAATTAAGTTTTATTTTAAATTTTTATGTTTGGAAAATTTCTCAATTTTTCTGTGAATTTATATTGGGAATTTCTTTAAATTTTATGAAATTGCCGTTTTTAAATGCAATAATAGTTTATACCCCAACTCCTTAAACATCCCCTAAAATCTTAAACCTTGATTATGATTGTTTTTAATATAGACGGTAACTTTTATGGCTGTTCAATTTACCATTATAATATAATAAATTTTATGCTAATTTTAAAATTTAATATTTATTTTTTTTTTATAAATATTATTTATAATGTAAAATTTAATATTATTTAATAAATATATATTACCTTAGATGTTAGCTCAGAAATTGGAGGTAGATCAAATAACTTAATTTTATTGTTGCTAATGTTATTACTGTTAGTCTGTATATTACTCAAACTGCTATTGATGTTGATGTTAATGGCGCTCTGGTTTGATATATTGCCGCTATTGTTGACATTAATGCCGCTATTGTTGCTGTTATAATCAGTATTGTTAATGTTAGTGTTGTTACATTTTACAAAATTTTCAGACTCAATTAATATTATTGCTAATATTAAATTAAACAATGGTAATTGGATAATTTTAGACATAATTTTATGATTATAACTATAGAATGATTGTTAGATTAAATAATGTCTTAAATTTTAAACTTCAACTGTTTCTTAGCAAACTTAGTACTACTAATAACTAACTAATTATAAAAAAATGTATTTACTATAAAATGGAGAAATTATTAATATATTTTAAAATTAATTTGGCACAGATTTTAAAATCATATAAAAAGTAAAAGTATTTTTTTAATTAATAGTTTTAAATTATGCATACAAATTCTATTTATAGATTTTTTTTTTAAAATTATAAATATTTATTAGATATTACATTTATATTTTAATTATTAAATCGTTTTCGGATAATTAATATAATACAAAACCAAATTACTATAACACAGTAAATGTTATAATATATTTATTTTTAGAAATAGTTGAAAATTATAGCAATTATTATTATTAAAAACTTTATTATAGGGGGGAATTTAACATAAATTTACTAGTGTAAAGAGTAAATTAATTAAATAAATAATATAGTTTAGTTAAAATTAATTTGTTACTACACATATTATTTAATTATATGGTTATTATTAATATATTTTTTTTATATAAATATTTTGTTGTTATTTTCTATTATTACTTATATTATATAATTTTATTTAACAAACTAACATATAATATTTATTAGTTTAACTACCAAATATACTGTATATAAATTATTAAAAATATTCATGCTCATTTAATATATTAGTAATATTGTATTTTATTATTTATAGATATTAAATATTATATTAAAGATACATGGTCCTTTTATACCCAGTTTTTAAATAAAAATAATTTATTATTATAAACTCATTTAACTTTATTTTTTAAACATTAAGAATTAACTAATAATATATATTTATTATTATTATTATTATTATTATTGTAATTTATAACTTATTTCAATTGTCGACCAGATGTCGACACAGACATATCCTATATATATATATACGTTTTGTAATCGTTGTATTGATTAGTTTTTTATGTTTTATAAAATAAACGTTAATTGTTATTACCGTTTCGTTTTATTTTACGTAATCGTCGGCTAACTGGCCGACATTCTGGCGCAGTCGGCAACAATAAACCTACTCAACCGTTAGTCATCGTCAACAATCGTGTCAATCATGCCGTACTACTACAGCACCCGCAGCCGTACCCGAGCGGTAGGCACACCGAAAACACGTGTTTGTCAACGCAAACGAGTTAATGATCCGTCAACCGGTGTCGATGTCAAGGATCTCGAAGTCAGTGAATCCGATGTCGAGACAGTCGTAGCACAGGTCTCTCGGATGTCCACTTCCGACAATCAGATCCAACCGCCGCAACCACCGATTAATCAAAGCATTACTCGTGACGTTACTCATACGCAAACATCGGCAATGATTCGACATAATAACGATGACACATACGCTGCACACCGTACATATCAACCGATTGGTCGCATTATCGGTCTGGTATGTGACAAGTACAGTGGTCCCGACGCCAACATCACCATCGAAGAATGGTTCCGCATATTTGGATGGCCGAAGAGATTGAACCGATGTGGCAGACCATTACGTATCACCGGTGCCGCGAACTCATGATCGCCCGGTTCACACGCAAATCAACGAACCCTTTGATCGACGCCACTCGTCGTACACTTAATCGTAATGAGACGGTCACCGCATATTACAACGATATGCGTCGGCTTCTATCACAGGCCGGTCTCAATGATAGCAACACCGTCGCTATGCTCACAAACGGTATGCCCGATAGCTATCGGCAGCTATTAGGCGCTTCGAGAGTTAAGACACCGAACGATTGGTTCGAAGTCGCCTTAGGTATCGAAGCGTCCAAATCGAAAAGTTTAACTCAATCGACCACTAGTCGTGAACAGACTCTCACCGCAACGGTTGTCAAACGCAATACATATCGTAAGAAAAACGATTCACCGCCGTGTCGGTATTGTTTGGCAACCGGCAACCGTAAGTATCACTGGCACTCTAGGTGTCCAATCAAACGCTTTGGTTCGAACCGCAACGGTTCCGATAGCAGATCAGGAACCAACACACGAACCATCAACTCGTCCTCAGCTGAAGTCAATACCAATGACGTCAAGGATTTCGATTATTTCGGCCTTCGAGTCAACGGTATGTATTTCAAAGCGCTTCTCGACTCCGGCAGCACCGTATCAATTGTATCGTCACAATTGGCGCAAAAACTTCGACTACGACCCGACCCATCGAAAATAATAGCCATCAAACAACTTGTCGGCACGGTCTACACCATCGGTAGTTCACACGTGTCGGTTACAATCGGAAATAAAACAGATTATTTGACTCTTCATGTCGTCGAAGATTGTAACCACACGGCACTCATTGGTCAGGACGCTCGACGACTGTTCAATTTGATGCCGAAGCCTAGTCCGTCAATAGCCACCGCTCATTCGTGTAACGCATATGTCGTCAATACAGACATTGTATTGAACACCAAAAACGACAATGTCAACAAAAGCGCTGTCTCTCAAACCGAATCGGTATCCGTCACTTCTACTGTCAATCCACGGACCGCCGAACCGAAAGAAAACGTAAACATCGCTCAGACAGCTATCATATCCGTCAACAACATCGATACCACCGAAAAGCCGATCAAAAGCCGTCAAAATAAGCGACAGTTATCGAAAAGTCGACACTCGGTTTCAAACACACCGATAACATTGTTTATGAATGACGCCCGCAAATTGTCCGCAAATATCAACGAAAGTTTGGGACGAAAATTCGTTGAAATACCGAAATCGCACCGAAAACCGCCCGATAAAACGTCACGTAATACACGACTAGCTCCCGCGTTTGCTCTGGTCAACTATGGTGACGTCGGATAGATGATCGACTCCTTTCCGTCGGGGGAATTGTCGACCAGATGTCGACACAGACATATCCTATATATATATATACGTTTTGTAATCGTTGTATTGATTAGTTTTTTATGTTTTATAAAATAAACGTTAATTGTTATTACCGTTTCGTTTTATTTTACGTAATCGTCGGCTAACTGGCCGACACAATAATTAAGCATGTTGATTTATTTTGTTATTATGTTATTTTTACATTACATTACATTTTTGTTTTTAATTTTGTTGTTAAAATTATTTAAGTAACAAAAATAAGCTAATAATTAGAGTTTATCGCAATTTTTTTTTTTAAATTCAAATATCAATACAATATAAACAATAATTACAACATATTATAATATTAGATGTATAGTTTATTATACAGCAATTAAAAATATATTACGTAAATTATTATTAATAATTATACAAATATAGCATCACCATGTTTAGTAGTATTGTTTTTTTTTAAAAATAATAATTAATATTTTAATTAATATTATTTTGTTTTCAATATATAACTAAATTGAAAAAAGATACAGGCTCCTTATATACCCATAATTTTTTCAAACTAAAAATAAATTTAAGTCATTTAACTTTTTAACCATGCAATAATTAAACATATTGATTTATGTTATTTTATTTATGTAATGTTATCGACTAAAAAATTTTGAAATTATTAACATTAGCTTGGTCATTAATTTTGAAAATATTTTTTATATTACTAATTATTTTTTTGCAAGTTTTTTTATTTATTGTATTCCCTATAAATTTTTAATTTAATCCCAATAAATTCTCAATTAAAATATTATTAATTTAAACTAATTATATTTTATTCAAAACAAAAAGTAAATATTTTTTATTAATAATAAATAAGATTTATTTATTTTTCTAAAATCTACTTAGCTAATTTTTTGCTAGATCATTTTTATTTAATGTTATAAGTTAGTAAATGCTGATATAATGCATATATAATAATTTTCCATTAATTTTCTATTATTTGTTATATTATATATTTTTATTTAATAAACTAACATATAATATTTATTAGTTTAACTATCATATACTGTATATAAATTTTTTTTTTAATATGCATGCTCACTTAATATATTAAATATTATATTGAAATTATAATAAGTTTATTATTTGAAATAAAAATATATGGTTTTATTGATCTAACATTTTTATTATTTATTCTGTATATAAAATATTATTAATAATATTTTATGCGACAATAATTTATTATCATATACTTTATATACTGTATATACAGGTATATAAGTAATTGTAATTAAAAAAATTATCTTTATTTACAACAACAAAAAATTAGGCTTATTATCAAAAAAAAACTAAAATAAAAATAATTTATATTTAAAAATTATTTTTATATAACAATTTTTATCTTGTATCTTTTAATTTTAATCTACTATCTTTCACCATGCTTAAATATATTATATTGTTTGCAATGATTTTGATGATTTCAGGTTATTATTTTTATTTGTTTTTTTTGTTGTTAAATTTATTTTTTTTTAAATTTTATACTAATAATAATAATTATATTATTTTTTTTAGCTGATCCTGGTTGTCCTAACAATGAAATACGTATATGTGGTAAATGTTGTCCTAATGATGATCCGTTTAGTTGTTGTGTTTAAGTGATTGTTAAACTATTGTAATGTTTTTTTTAATATAAATTTTTAAAATATTTTTAAATAATATATAGATATTTATATTATTATTGATTTATATATATATAGAATATTATAATTACAGTGTTTTTAATAAACAAAAAATTGAATTTAAAATAAATCAAATTTTTATTTCTTCAATTGATATAAAAAATTAAGTTTAAATAATTGTTTAAATTTTTTTATTTTGTAAATTATTGTTTGTATAATTAAAATAAATCAATTAATTATTTTTATAACAATTTCCTATCTATTAACTCACCATGCATCTATTTATTAAATTTGCTATTATAATAATTTTAATTATTATAAAATATTTTTCCAATAAATACTATATTAATTGCTAGATCATTAAAAACAATAAATAAAAATTTTATAGTAATTATTTCGATAAGCGATAAACATATATCATAATATTAAATTAGTTTTATAAAATAAACATGCATAATTAATTATTATAATTAACTGTAATTATAACATTTAGTTCATAATTTATTTATTATTTTTCAAATTAATTTATTAGTTTAATGTATACAACAACAA